TTTGAGTTTGGATACATTTTTTTGGCGTTGATGCTGGCTTTGAAAAGTGGCGTGGGTTTTGTTTGATTTGGCATTCGGTCTGCGAGTTGTGTTGATGTCTTCGTGTTGTTGGGTGGATCGATTTTGGAATTGTTTTGATGTCGATTTTGGTTATGCTTCATGTTTAAGCGGTTTTTGTTTGGTGCTGTTTGCTCATGTTGGTCTTGTTTGTGTACGCTTAACCATGATTTTGCTCGGCTTTGTTCCATAGTTGTCCTTTTCATTTGGTATACAGTGCCCTCCAGTCATCAACATATACCCCGTTGGTCAATCCCTGGCCGTTTTCCACACAAGTACCGGATGAGGATTGGTTTGGATTCGGATTCGAAGCGCTGGTTCTTGAGAAGGGTACATGGACACCACCCCTATGCAAACCACGAATCCTGCTGAGCAGCAAGCTGAATCAGTCACGGGTTCCAGGCGATCGCCTGAGGCAACCAGTTTCACTGATCTCTGCGCCTGAAATGGGTGCGGAGCTTGTAGCATCCGGGGCTCAACCAAAAAACATCACCAGATGAGTGTAAATTCGTGTCAATTCAACCAGAGCTTGTCCCACTGCTTGTTTTTTTTCAGTTGTTCAAAAGGATCGTCCAACGCTGGGACCCAAAAAACATGCGTCTCAGAAGTGCATGCTTGAGTTTTGCAGGTTTTACTCTCACGCCAGCCAGCTCTCCACGAATGCCTCGAAGCCCGAACGCGGAAATCCGAGTGGCTGAGCCAGTTTCGGATGACCAGGTTAGAGGTGTCTTGGGGCAAGGTGTACAGATAGATGTATTGAAGCTTCGACATCCGTAGACCTTCCTTCGCACGTACCTTCGTTTGCACGTTTGTTACGCCTCAAGATGTAGCGGTCAAGGCCAAAAAGGCGCACGGCCAAGGCTGAGGGCATGAACCCACGTGGAGCCCAGCGATCAACTGGTTTGGTGATCGACCTTCAGTAAGCCGCCGTGGCAGAGGGCTATCAGGGGAATGAGCCACCAAGCACCAAGGGATGGCATGTGGTCCAGAAACCAGAGGAAACGTCCATACCGTCAGCCTTTCAGCCCGGAATCGAATTGCCCAAGGAGCCGAAAGCGGCCAGTTGTGCCACTTGCATGCTGAAGCCGGCATGCACACCGTGTAGACAGGTATGAAAAGGAAGATCAGGATGAGCAAGAGGTGTTGATCGATTTTGACGGTATCCATGTTGGGCGTGTTCGAAGGACACCAAGGGCATACCTTACCTTGAAAGTCAGCAGAGTGGAGCCGAGCAAGGTTCACCTTTTAATCCCCCAACCCTTCCAGGACAACACAGAGATCCCATGAAAGTGTGGGCAGACTTTTGAAAGGCGGTCGCTTTGTTTCCATCGGCTCAAAAAGTAAACCGTGCAGTTGGAGACATTGCCAGTACAAGGGGTGATTCATTTGCAGCTGCCCAGTGTAATTCAACATGATCCTTGGGGCCTACTTGTACCGCCGGGTTGCTGCTCTTGCAAGGTTCTAGGATGTGTACAAGCCTATTTGGTCGAGATGGGGGGCCTGAATGAGCGTTCCAAGCAGTGGGTGACGGCAGCTGCGTTGTAAAATCCCACCGGCGGTAAGTGCCCATCAGTTTCGGTCTCCCCTAACCTCGGCCAATTGCTTCCTTGAGAAAACCGTAAAATTGAAATGGGGTTTTGGAGGCACCAAGAATCCGGCAAACTGCCCTATTTGTCCAAAGTAGGTTTTGCACGCAGTCCTATTTGGATATATATAGGACGACAAACCGATTCGGTCAAAACAGGTTTGTTCCCCAACAGCTGAAAGCTTTGGGGTCTCAGCCCAGATAGGCTCCGGGGCGGCCCTGAGGTAAGGTTCCACGAGGGTTCCACGAGGGTTCCACCAGGGTTCCACTAGGGTTCCACCAGGGTTCCACCAGGGTTCCACCAGGGTTCCACCAGGGTTCCACCAGGGTTCCACCAGGGTTCCACCAGGTTCTGCGAGGGCTGCGGGGTAGTGCGAGCACTAAAAAGAGCACCGCGTGCTGTTGGGGATATCACCTGAGCTTATTTTTGGACACGGGGCCACGTTCCAAACAAACCTAGTTTGGGCATTCCAATTGCGCGGCTGGCGATTGAGCTTTTGTCCAACCCACATTGTCGACGGGCCTTATTTCGATACTCAATTCGATGTAGAGTTGTTTCCGTAAAGAAGCGGAGAAGTCACCACTGCGCATTGTACATTGCCTACGCACGTGGGAGTGGACAGGCCCTTTCAAAAGGGCTATGGCCTTTCAACCCCTTTTGTCAGCTTCCATGATTGCAAAGTAGCACCAGAGCTGCGTTTCCTTCAGGGAAGGAAGCCATTTGCTAGACCAATTGCGGGCAAATACTCGCGTGGTGTTGGACATGGCCCGGCTCAAGCTTAGCAAGTTTTGGAGACGGCTGTGGCGCAAGGATATGATGAGCGCCCAGGTGGCTTTGTCTCACACCCAGCATGCGCGATGTCCCGCGCTCGTTCCTCTGCAGCGACCCCGAAAGCGTGTATAGTATATACCCTCCAAAGCGACACACACACACACACACACGGGTATGAGTTTCAAGTGAGCAACTTGGGACAAGTTATCTTTTACTGTAATGCTCTCAGTCTCAGTTTAATGTTGTGCTTGAGGCATATTAACTTAGGATTCCTTCTCCAGCAGAACCCTTCACCCTGCATCAAGCGGCACCAGCACTACGCCTTTGTTTTTTTGTTCGAAGCGTGCGGCGCTCATGTACCGCAATGGCAATGGTGCTCAAAAGCCGAAGGAGACACCTTGTCCCCCACTTCCCGCACAGCTCTGGTTGGACTTCAGCTGGAGCTTTCTGCAAGACTGGCCCTAAACGAATCAATGCTGTGGTTTTCTTGTGGTTTGACAGGCCCAACCAGGTGTGGGCTCCAGTATTACTTCTGTCATTTTGCCTGGAAGGCCAACATGGTTTCACTGATCACCCTGTTCGCAGAAGCCCGTCTCTTATTCTGGCTAGTACTCAATAAAGACGCGGAACAAGTTGCACTCTGGTTTCAGAATTTGGTGTTAGCAAGCTGGTTTGGTGTCACGTGGGTATGTCTCAAAATCTTTCTTCCAAAGGACAACCACATTTTTTGTAGCTGTCTCCAGGGATCTTACTTTCCCCTGTAGGCTTCCCTTGGTTCCTTTATGGCGATTTGGTTGGATCTTCGGACTTAACTTGTCGGGAATGTCGAACTTTTTGCAGAGGGATCAACAGCAACCAAGTGGTGCCAGCCATTTACTAGTGCCATCCTTTTGTTCTCCCAATAAAAGAGCACCTATGGCTGGAACCCTTTTTGGTGCAAGCAAGCCAGGATGATTTGGCGTTCCGGCTTATGGAACAGTTTGGGGTCGAAATCACATTTTCGAACCGCCTTTCAAGCGCAGCAGGGACCCGACTCCTTCCCTTTCTTGATGGAGTTCAAAGGGAAGCCAACAGGAATCGAATCGACCATTGTTCTACATTCGGGGCACACTCCCTTCTAGCCCCTGCGTAGAGGAAACTGCCATAAACATAGGGTCCTTTTAGGTTAGTAGTTAGTTGATGGCTTTCACTGGAATGTCACTGGTTTCAGATTGCTTTCAATCATTTGCCGATGCGATCTATTTGTACAGACTCCAACCATTTGGCGTTAGGTCCATTCGGATTTGTCTGAAAAAAAGGACCCCCTGAGAATGTGTGTGTGGCTCGTGGGTTTACCTTTCATGCCAATTCAAGAGGAAGCAGCCATGACCCCAGCCCTGCAAACCGTCGAAGAGCAAGTTACTACCCATGTGGGTGCCCTTTTTTCAGGGGCCCCCAAACCAGTGGTTTTCCTTGTCGTTATCCAAGAAAGACAAGAGCTCATAAGGGGTACTGTACAAAAAGCAAAAAGACGAGCCCATTCAATTCACCGGCCCAACCCCAAAGAGTTAGCTACGAGGAAGTGGCCTTGAATCCTCAGAGGTCGCCAGGCTAAATCTGGAGAATCTGCAAACATGTTGCTTTAACATTAAAACACAGATCGGCATGCTCAGCCTCATTCATTACTGCCTCGGACCAAAACGCTTTGTGTTGTGACAACTCTGTTGTGTACCTGGAGTCTCCACCCTCCAAAAATGGGGGTCATTGCCGGTAAGAAAGGGGTCATGGCCCCATTTTGAAGGAACACGGGGACTCCACCCTTGAACAATGGGGTCATTCTAGGGGCTGATTCCCCATTCTTTTCAACCATTGTGTTTTCTAAAAGCCGGCCATTTTCCCTGGGTTTCCGGAGGTTTTCTAGAAAGAAGGATCCCTGGAAAGAATGGAAATGGAAGGTACTCCTAGAGTCATTACCATTGAAGGATCACAGACTTACAGCCCACCCTCCAAAATGGGGGCATTGCCCGTAAGAAATATGGAACATGGGGACTCCACGTTCGAAAAATGGGGTCATTACAATTGAACGGCCAACTCTTCGGTGTCCGGCTTTTGGTGGGCCCCTGAATCAGGAGCGGCCTGCGCCTGCCGGGGGCAACGCGCTGGTGACCTTCGATGCTCAGCTCGCGAAGCAGCAGGCTGCCTCGGCACAAGCACCCGGTGAGTCGACTTCCTTTCAGCTTCCCCCTAGCATGTTATATGTATATTATATGGATATGTGTGCATATGGGTCTGTGTTTTTTTACCGTGTCGGAGGTGGGGCTTGGGCGAGCCATACCCCCGAATCATACCCCCGAGCCATACCCCGAGTCATACCCCTTAAAAAACACAAAAAGGAACTTGCAAGAACTATGGCATTTGCATGTGATCCATGGATAGCTGGAAGCTATAGGGGGTTTAACTTCAAGTGAAGAAGGGGGTCTTGTCAAGAAACAGTGGTAGAGAGCTTGCCATGTGGACCGATGCCAGGGGGTAGGGACTCCGAGGTAGTACCTGGTTCACTTGTGGTTCCTGGATCTATTCTTGAGTCTGCGATGCTTGCATGGTTGGGCGCTGATGTCATGGGGCCAAGTACAGTTGACATGTCCACTCACACACTCACTGGTTACTCGTAGGGGGCCATTTTGGCTTAAGTGGTGTTCCTTGCACCTCGGTCTCGGCTTGCTATTTTCAATGGAAAGTGCCAATGGATGGAGTTATAGATCAATCCTGCGGATGTCCTGGTACTCTGTAGCATCCGTGGTGCTGTGGCGGGGGGGTGCAGCTTGACGTAAGACGCTGGGACTTGCAGGGCGCTGTGGCGGGGGGTGCCGCTGCTGAGCTTGAAACTTGGAGCTTGCTTCCTGCAGTCTGTCCGACGCGGTGGAAACAGCTGTCTGTCCTGGGCCACTGTCGCAGTGAAACACAAGCTGTCTTTGTGCTCCTGGGGTACTCTTGGTGTTTTTCCGGTCGAAAAAATATGTCCCCCGATTCATACCCCCGATTCATACCCGATTCATACCCCGATTCATACCCTTCTGCTGCCATTTGCAGCCAAGAGCCTCTTGCGCTCTGGGCAGTACTAGCGAAGCTATGCCGCCCAAATCCTCAGAAGACACAAACTCAAAGAGAAGCACTGCAGGAAAGCGCGCGGCTCTTTTCGCAGAAGTTCGCCAGAAGGTGGGTTCGGAAGGCTTACTGCAATGTATCAAGCGCGACACGGTACACCACCTGTGAGAGGCCCACTAGCCTCTGCGCGGCTGCCGTTTGAGGATGTCACGCTGTCTTGCCCTCACGCTGGTTCGTGGCGGGCCTGACTGGGCACGCTTCCCCTTAAGCAACGCTTGCTTGGGTCTGTGAGCGCGCGGGTCGCTTGAACTCCAAGTGGAGGTGGCCATGACGTTCGTTTCAGGCAGTGGGTCTGGTAGTGGAGGAGGTTTGCTAACCCACTCACGCAGAGTGGCAGCTGTCTAGTTCAGGCTACTCACAAGCGCCCCAGGCTGGCTTGTAGCAACTAAGCGGTCGAAATCTCACGGCTATCCAGTTGCCAGCGCGCGGGAGCTTTGCAGTGTCCAAAGCCACACAGCAAGAGTTCAGAGGCGCGCGAGCCATACCCCGAATCATACCCCCGAGCCATACCCCGAACCATACCTGCGATTCATACCCCTTATACCAACCTCCCGGCACGGCCACGTCAAAAAAACACATACCCATATATATAATATATAGAATTAGATGTGCATACGTAGGTATATCAGCTTCCCCCGTTGCTTGGTGGTGACCCGGTGGTCTTGTGGTGGTCAAGGGGTGGTCTTCCATTGACCCTCTACAAGAACCACGGGTGGATCCAAGCCGCCAATCAAAATCACCAACTAAGGGTTGCTTGATCCTGAGGTAGCCAAGGGAGCAAACATTCGCCAGTACAACAAATTGAGACCTAAAAACAAGAAACACATCGCGTTTTTTGGAGGGAACCGGCCTTTTAATGATGGGTGAGGTACCTCAAGGGGTCAAAGGCTCATCCAAGGTTTGGACCCGTCAAACCTTTGGCCTTCAGGACTTTTTGGGTTTGGACCATTTAGGCCTGTCTTGTTTTGTTGAGGGGTCGCTTGGTTTTGAAGGGACACCGAAGGGAACACCATTTTGGGGTTCCCCACAAAAAGGACCCACCCCTTTTCGTGACAACCGGAAGGTCGGATTTTTTTTTCGGCCAATCCGGGGGAGTGAGTTGGCCCCTTTGGACAAAGAATGCATTGAGAGCCTTGTTGGAATCTGATGACTTTTATGTCTTCAGGTAAGCTTGCTTCCAGAAATCGGCTTGGTAACAAACCCCAACTTTCAGAACCACAGTCCTTGGATTCAGTCCATTGAGCGCCCTTTGCTTGGGACCGCGGGCCTCGCCAGGAGGAGGCACAGCTTGCGCCTTCGGCTGCCATGGGCCGATGCGGGGAATCCACGGGAAGCCTTCGGTTGCCCACTTCGTTTTGGGGCGAAAACTGAGGCCCGAAGAAACCAAAGGAATGGCTAAACCTTTTTGGGAAAACCAAAGGATGAGAAAAGGAATGGGAAAACCAAAGGAAAACCAAAGATGGGAAAAACCAAAGGATTAGAAACACCTGAGGGACAAAAAGATGGGCTTCCTTTAGTCCCCTCCCCTCGAAGCTGGTTGCCTTCCCTGCTCAGGAAACTAGGGCAAAGCTACGCGTCCGGACATGTAAGCTTGAGCTGAACCCTTGAGCCGAATCTTTGAGCCGAAGTTCCCTGATCCGAATTGAAATGTCCACATCATGCGGGGAATCTATGTGTGTTTGCTTGCTTTGCTTTGCTTTTCTTCGCTTTCCTGGCCTGCTTTCCTTTTTGCTTGATGCTGATTCGGCCACATGGAGTCAGACACCAAAAACCGTTCTCAGAGGCTGGGAGGGCCTTTGGTTTTCCCCCTACAACCAATTCACCACTGTAACCGGGATTCTCAAAATGGACCGACCCCCTTGGGTGTTAAACACGTGGAACAAAGCGAACCTCATGGCGTCGTCACCAAGGCCAAGGAACGCCCCAAGCCGCGGAACGATTACTTGGACTGCGACTCGGCCGCGAAGTCTGGGTTTGGCACAACCGGTGACCCTCTTCTGCGTGTCGGCCATTTGCACAAAGGGATCCTTGTTTGCATGGCTGGGAAAGGGTCATAATACAGGCTATGTGCGTATAACAGATACGTACGTATGTATGCACGTATATACATACGTGCTTTCGTGCATACGTACGTATGTGGCTACCTGCGCACAGACGTATATACAAGTATGTCAATGTATAGAGAGATAAGCCCGCGCCATCCACGCCAGTTGATGGCTTTTGGTTGCTGCTTTGCTTTACCTTCGTGAGGGTCACCGTGGAATTGGCCTGGACCCCTTGAGATCATGCTGTTTGAAAGGAAACCGAAAACATGCCGACCCAGCCTATTCTTGGAAACACCGCCCTGTGAGTCCCTTGTAGTAGGTAACCAGACATGGCCTTTCGTCGAAGACCAGGAAGGCCCTTGCTTACAACACACTCAGTTCAGTGGAGCCCTTCCTGTTTTGTTTTGGACCGCCAGGCCACTGGCCAAATGAACAGATGCAATCACTCACGCCTGAGGCTATACGGGACCCAAGGTGAAGTGGGAGGACAGGGAATGGACGGGCTTGGGCGATTCGACTTACTGTTTTACAGAAATTTGGGCCCAACCACCCTGTGGCATGCGTTCAAAGAGCTGTCCCAGCGCTTGCCCCTGCTTTAACCAAGAGAACGCCCCCATGTCCAAACTCACCCAATAACCCAAAAACCCGCTGAGTAGGCGACGCAGTAGCTTTCCCTCTAGGTGTTGCACGAGTGTTGTGCCTGCTGGCAACCGGAAGCACAGAGCCTTGGAAACTCCAACTGGTTTCCGCAAATAAGTCGGAGCATGGGTTGAATGCAACTCCCTGGCAGATCATGGTTTGTGTTGAGTTCCAGATGACTTTTTGGCATTCAAGAACCCGGAGGAACTATTTAAAGTTAATACCACCTGAACTCAGCAGCGGAGTAACTCCAACGAGCTCTTTCAGCACCCATTTGACTTGGCCACATGGCTGGACTGAAACATGTTTGCCGCTGATTCGGGCGTTGCCAGGCAAACAGTTGAGCTAAATCCACCCAAACGCAGTTTGTTGAGAACAAGAAATTCAAGAAATTTTTGTTTTGGGTTCTTGGGAGAACCAACTTCAAGGACAGACCTCAAATGCCCAATAACCATATTTTAGGAGCAAATTCAACGATACAGCAAGTTGGCTCAACTTGGCAATTCGTTTTGGGGGAGCCAAACCAAAAGTTGTTGTTGTGTGTTTTTTTTTTTTGCGGGGGATCACATTCAAAGGCAAGCAGAAACTGCCGCAGTTTGCCCATTTACGGGTGTCTTTGTAAGGAACCCGCAAAGTGGGCATGTCTTGTAGGACACCCCCTCCCTTTTTGGGTGGTTTTCGTTTAGGTGCCCCTTTGAAACCACCTAACAAGGGGTCCCCTCACGACCGCACCCATTTTGCTCGAGAGGACACAGGGCTTTACAAGGCGCTGGTGAAGAGCCAAGACATCGAGGAGGAGCTGACGAAGATCCGGAATTTGATCCGCAAGCGTGGCTCGAAGGTGAAAGTGGGCAGGGACTAGCAAGCAGTACAGGGTAAGTGCTGTAAGTCGTCCCGGGTTGATCTAAGTCGTCCCGGGTGAGTGTGCCCGTTGTGTTTGTGGATGTAAGGATAGTTGTCTCAAGCATGTCATTTTCTGAAATCGCATAATTCTGTGCTGTGCGCATGCAAAATGTATGATGTTCAACATTTGGTCGGCTTCCATGTGCCGTGTGCATGCGTGTATGTTCACTGCCACTGGGTGGTTCTCTCTTCTCGTGCCGCAGCACTTGAAGTTGTGCCACAAGCGGACGCAATCTTCATTGGGATGAGGGCACGGCTCACCCGGCGCTCGCGCAGCACTCGCGCAGAGTCGCGCGGCACTCGCGCCGGCAGCCCTTTTGTCGGGTGTTCCGGGGGAACCAACAGAAAACACTATTTATGATTGAAGGATAGGTACCCTTTAATTGCAGTGTGCCCAATAGGGTTTTGCCCGGGAAAAGCATTCAACATGAACCCAAACCAGTGAGTTTTGAGCACGTGCGCGCAGTATGCGGTGAATTCTTGGGGTTAGCAACATCGCCCTTCCAGTTCTGTGCCAACGGGAGGACTTAAAACGCATGGGGTGACTTAAACGGATATGCGTAGTTCCAAGCGGCTGGGGATGGCTGGGGTGACTTAACGCGACGTGGGGTGACTTACGACGCCCGCTTGTACCTTCAACAAAAGGACAAATATGGAGGTGCTGTTTCTTTTTGCGGATAACCTTTTCAGGTGGGTTTCCCGAAAGAAAAACAAGAAAAAAAGCGACAACCAAATTCCATTTGATTCATCCGCTCTTATGTGGACACGTACCCATATTATTATTTGGGTGTTTCTCAGGGAAACCAAACTGAAAGTTTCCCTTGATTGAGGGGTAATTTGGGATTCCTTTGGGGTGATTGGAAGTCATTTTGGACCGCTTTTCTCACAAGCTGGTTGTGATCGCTGCAAACCAAAGGACAGATTCGTGTGGCATGCGTTAGGAGCACATTTTGTTCAAATTAGTACGGCGCCAAACACAAGAAAAGGCATATTTCAGTTGTTTTTCACGGATAGTTTTCGTCGATTCAGCGGGGGTCTTTGCTGTGAAGCTGACATCCTCTCAGAATCATTCAAGGGTTTCCATGAAGAAAGACACCCCTTGCTCCCCAGAACAGGGCGCCAATGCCAAGGCCCCCGTTAAAACGGGCCCCAACTCCTTTTCGACCGATGCAAGGCACCGATCCGGGCTACGATCCCAATGACGAGGAGGACTTTAAGGCACTTGGCTCGTCCTTCTTTTTTGAGGAATCGGACTTCCCCGCATTGGCGGTTTCTTTTCGGTTTTCCTTGTGGTTACCAAGTTCTAATTCCACTAACAGAGAGGGGTACCCTCGAAGACGGACCCAACTGCGGAGGGTGGTTTCCCATTTACCTTCTACAAGAAACCAGGGCTCAAACCCCCAGGGTTCAAATCCCCCCTCCAACATTCCAAACCATACAGGTTGCCTGAAAACTCATGAATCTACCTGCCATAACCATTAAAAAATGGGCTCGCTACCCAAAAGAAGGGGGGCGTGGCCCGATTTTTTATGACGGGCTCTATGTTTTGCCGCTGCGGTTCCCCTTGTCCGGCTTTCTGCGAGCTACGGGAACAATCTTCCGCGCCCGGCTTTTTGGGTGGGAGCTTGCGGATACCTTTTTGGGTGGTGTTAAAAGGAAGCAAACACTTTTTGAGATTTCCGAATTTTGACATATGTTCAATATGGGTATGGTTCAAAATGAAAGAGCTGGGCAGGTGTTTTAGCCTTTGTTTCCATTTACTAAGGTGCCATTTTCGGGATTCCATTTTCGAGTTTGGCCCATGTTCAACTCTCCCGGTCATATGAAAAATCTGGAGACGAGACCTTCAAATCGTTTGTGTCAAAACCGAGCGTCAGACCCTGTAACCATCGTCTTGTTGCCATGGAAGCCTTGGGGTTTACAAAAAGGTTCCTAGCTCCTGGGGCTCTGCCATCGCTACTGTCACATGTTTTTTTTTTTTTTCTGAAAGGATGTAGAACCTCCTAGACTTGACACATATACCCCTTTGACTCGTGGTCTTTGATTTTGCACGACATCTGGGGGCCTCGATGAAGGTTCGCTGCTTGGGGATTCCCTGGCGCTCGTTTTGGGGAATCTCAGCGTTTTGCCCAGACTTGATTTAGCTTTCCCTGCCGGTGTTCTCGGCCTGCGAAAGATCGCGGTCTTTGAATTCGCGCTGCGCTCGAAGTCCCGCAGGTGGCGCCGGTGCGAAAGTTCGACAGCAAGGCGGACTACTACAAACTGCTGGACGTGGATGACTTCGCCTCTGTGAAGGACATCAAAGGCCGGGAGACTTTTCTCCCAAGAAACTGGGTGCCTGGACTCTCAAGCTTCCCATGAAAAAGGGAACTCACCCCATGAGTTTGGGGGGCAGCCCATTTTTAAGGGAATGTTGGGGGTCCAGGTGGGTTTCCAGGCTTATTGGCTTGGCTTGCAGGCGCCTACAAGAAGCTGGCGTTGCAGTACCACCCGGACAAGAACCGAGACAAGAAGCCCGACAAGCTCCGGGAGATGCAGGTGTCTTGTGTGTCGAATCAGTGGTCGTTGGTGGAAGCAAATCGCTCTTGAAATGTCATTGGGTTGGATCAAACCTTAGCTTTTGGGGAAAAGGATGATTTTCCCACTAAGCTAGTTACACAAGGTTAAAGCTTTTTGGCAGGGTGGCATAGCCATCAAACTTGGATCCGAGTTGTTCCTTGATGTGTATCATTTTTCAGTGGCCTCAAAGATCAGCCACAGGAATACTTTTGTTGTGGGGGGGGTCCCGCATGTCAACACACCAGCCATGTTGTGTTTTGTTGTAATCTAATATAGTTGTTGGAAGAATGTGAACTACCATGATTATCTCTCTTGCCGGTGAGGTCTTGCAAAATTTCCCCCAGCTGGAAGCCAGACCCAGCGGCACCCTTTGTGCGGTAAACAAACGGCACTTGGCTTCAGCGTGGGAAAGAGGGGGGAGCCCTCCAATTTTCTCCCAGATCACGGATACCCCTGTGGTAGCCAGACATGCTTCTTGTGGTTGTTGCGGAGTGGTCCCCCTGGTTACCTACTAAAACGTCAGCTAAATGGAAATCATCAAGTCTCTTTTGGTTTTGAAAACAAAGTAACCACAATTCGCTAAATTTAGGGTCGTTGTTTTTGCCCTACAGGTTCTTGTTTCTTCTTCTTTAGACGCAATGTCTTGCAGAGTCTCTCAGGATGAGTTCGAGAAGATCCAGGAGGCTTACGAGCAGCTGGGACTTGGTTTCAGAGTCACCACCACATGTGTCATATATATATATATATACACGAGTTGGCTTCATAGGGTCGCTGCAGCCTTCAGACATTTGTTCCGGGACCGGCAAGAATCTGAGCGTTTTGCTATTGAGTGCATGAGAGAGAAGCTAGAAGATACAGGGTGGGTATCCTTGGGCTTGTTTGAAGGGACATTAGAAGGACAATCACCAAATAGGGGTCCCTCATGTCGAGACAAACCTCTTGGAATTGAAACCTTGTTGAGTACAGGGTATTGTTTTTCTGGGAGTTTGAAGGGGAAGCATATTTGTATACTCAGGTGGCCCTTAGTTTGTGGTTTCGGTTGGTGGTTTGGGATTTGAAGCCCTGGTTCTTGTGGAGGGCAAATTGGAAGCCGGCCCCAAATCACCAAACAAGCAATCCAAACACCAAGTAATATACCTGGTTACCTACATATGCATATCTATATTATATATGTAATATATTACACACACATGACACGTATGAAGCACTGGGAATCCTTTCGGAGCGCCTGAGGATCCTTTCGGACCGCGCCACCCGGCGTCAGTACGACCGGACGCGCTTCGACGAGGCCCGCGCCAAGTCCCAGGCGCCCTGGGGGGGGGGGGGGTGGCAGGGAAGATTACGTACAATGTGCCGCCGCGCGCCTTCAAGAGCACAACGGTTCATCGTTGCACATGGACTCTTTTGGTGCAATCCCAAGAGTAGAAAGGAATGTCTTGGCACGCCTCACCCTGAATCAGAACCAGCTAGTTTGTAGCAATAGAAAAAAGGGTGAGGGGTGATGAAGACCAGATGAACATCCTCTCTTTGGTTGTGAGAGAGTGTGATAGAGGCACACGGTATACCTTCGTGAAGTAGTATTAATGGAAACAAATAATGGTGTCCTCCTATCTATCACTTCCATATCTTTTCTAAATTAAACGTTTGCTAGCTCACAAAGATAGAGCATGGAAATTGAAAGAGGAAAATGCTAATCAAATGATTAAAGCCACAGTAACAGATAACAGAGTTAGAGAAGATCGAATGTCAGTGAGGAAGAAGTAAATAGTAAACAAATGCTGGTCAAATAAACATAAAAGGAAAGAACAATCAGAGAGATATAAAACAGGGTCTGGATACGCAGCCTGTCCGTGAGACGTCACTTAAGCACTAATAACAGTTAAGCGTCTCTTCATTCATCACTCTATCTGGACAGGCAATATTCTGCTGAGAAAACTATTAACTTCATTCGGTCACTTCTAGCGATGAACATAGTATTAGTGAAGATTCAGTAGGATTTGACAACTATTACAAGCACTGTAGCTTGGGAGGCAAAAGGAAACCCATTAAAAAGAGAAGGTGAGAAATGAACCCCACCCGATACAAATTAGTTAACATTACTCATGAGATTCTAGTAAATAGATAGCCTTTCGTAAATAGTGTTCCGTCCTTCTCCAGCAACTTTTACTATTAATATCCTCTTCATTCTCACCTAAAACTCAAGAATATTGCACATATCTAAGGGTAAGATAGGAAGTGAGTGAGAGATTTTGCAAGGAAATTCGAATAGAACAAAAGCAGAAAGAAGATACAAATAAATAAACTCCATGAGTAAAGACCAACAGCCTCTTCAGAGTCAAGCAAACTATCTATGGTTATAATTTGCGTTTATTCTGTATATTTGTGCAGACTGGATGAAGTGGTCACGGGGTGAATTTAAGGGCAATAATTACAGAATCTTTGTAATCCCATAGCTTACTTCGTTTTAATATCTTATTGCGTTTTCTATCATATCCATCATTGTCCACTCTAGGTTTTTCGATTTTTCACTGTGTTGGAGAGGGTTCTTGGTGGACACGCATAATTTGTCTCCAAATAAACCGTTTCATTCAGTAACATTCTTTATTACTTTCATGTTCTTGGTTCTGTCATTTGTCTATTTATTTAGTTATTTGTTTATTTATTTTTATTTATTTATTGATTTTTATTTATTTATTTACGTATCTATTATGTTTCTTCATAGGCCTTTTTCGTAATTCTTACGACTCCTGATAGCCGCGAGAGACGGGAGAGCAGAAGGAGTGTTAGCCAGTTCCTCTTCTTCATATTTGTTGCTACCCCCCCGGGTTTTTCTCCCCCATCCAGATGCTTCTAACGTTTACAATGCGAGAGAGAGAAAGAGAGATTGGGAAGATACATAAACAAGTAGAAAGGTTGCAAAGTGAACAAGTACATGAGAATGCAACCAGCAGAGGAGAGACTATGAACCTATTCTTGGTAATGGTTTACTTTCTGTTCCAACCATCGTGATTTTCTTTGCGTCGCAAATTTATTCAACCTCACACCCAGAAGCATTTCTATACTTCTCAGATAGTATTGTAAATAGAAGACAACGAAGATAGACATTCAAGCAATAAATGGGATGGTAAACCGAAAGGCAATGATCTTAGTCTATTAGTAACGACATGTCCATCCACAAATGTTTCCTGGATGAAGTGGAAGAGATAGAAAGGGAAGGATAAGCTCTTGGGACCACAAACCAACCTCTCTTCCTCCATGACTTGGACAAGGAAAGGACGCCAGCGATGAGAAGAACCCAGTCCTTACACCATCCTATGATCTAAAACTCTATTATTGTCCTTTCATTTCCAGAAGATTACTAGCAAAAGAGAGAGAGCGCTAGCATTTGCTATTAAAAAGGTTTTAAGGATTTTGTAGTCAAATCTTTATGGGTTGAAGATGTTGGTGGGTGACAGCGGGAACGGGAAAGGGGCAGACCATTTGCTCTGAGCTTTGTTGTTGAGCATGTCCTTGTGAATGAAGGGGACGCCCAAGAGCGTGGCCAAATAAAGGATGAAGAGATGGCATGTAAAACCAAGACAGAAGGAAGCGACGAAGCTATGTACATCTTTCCACAACCTCCGCTTCCTTCTCTCGCTTGCGCCAGCTTTTGGCGGGAGGTTACATGGGAAAATCAGGATGCGATCGGAGGAAAAGAAAGAATCACGTTACTTCTGTTCACCCTCTCCTATCTTCTCTTCTTCTTCGTCCCAAGCATCACACGGCATAAGATTAACAGCAGCCTATGCTTGAGGAAGAAGTCAAGAGAGGCTTCTCACTTCCCATTTTCAATCTTCAATTTCATCAAAAGGAAAGAAAGAAGTGATAGAAAGACATGGCAAGTGCCCATCCAATTCTTTAGCTGCAATTAGTATTGATGGGTGCTTACCTCCTTGCCAGACGCTTTACTTCTTCATTTCCAACACATGGCAATGTAAAAGACAAGGCAAGGAAAATGACAAGCGTTGGCTGGGCCGGGAAAGGAAAGGTCATCTTCTTCCATCTGTGTTTTACAGAAAGAAGCGGGGTGTGGAAAAGTGGCTTTCTTTTTCTACAAGTAAACCAAAAATAAAGCCAATATCCCCTTCCTTCGTCCCACTTTTAGACTGTTCCATCGTGAGTCTTTCGTAGTGACAGAACTCCAGAACGTATGCATGGAGTGGGAAAAGGAAAGGTAAAGATGGAACGGTTCATCTCCTTCCTATCTTCTCCCCACTAGCGATACAGTTGGAGAAGAAGAAACGGGGGGCTAGCTTCTCCCTCCTTCCTTCACCCCTCGATTTCTGGCATTCTTCAACAGTTGAAAAGGGAAACAGAAGAAGGTGAAGGATGAAAAGTCCAAAAGATAGTAAAACACAAGCAAAATAATATGAGTAAGACCTACTCATAATCCTTTTTCCTTTCGGTGAGCCCCAGAGACGACCGGACAGCCAAAAGCATTCACAAAGAAAGATAGCGTAATGAATCTCAACAAGAGAAGAATAAAATAATAATAAAAAACGAGGAATGTAAGTATGGTTTTAAGATTAGAAGCATATATTAGCACGTAATAAACAGCTTCTGTAAGCACCACCCATAATTATCTTTAGCTTTGTCATAACTGTCTCGCGCCCTTTTTATGTTTTTGAGTTACGTTAGCTTGTATAAAACAGGATTTTGAAAAGAAAGGGAGGATATTACGTTTTCTACCGTAATTATACTGCCTGCAAATGCTTTCGTCACTTCTTACCCATCCAAAAATGCAAATGGGGGATGAGGATGGATGGACAAGCGGAAGCAGGCAATGATTTGGAATAGGCCCCAAAGACAGGCTGGAAAGGGATATATTTACAAAGGAATCTTCAATCATCATATCCTCCAAGTCTCACGGACAGGCTATCTGGTTTATTCTGCGTGATGTCTGGGCGGAACATTCTTTGTTCTGTCACACCTTTCCCTTTCCCTTACCTTCATCGCTTGGTCTAGCCTGGTATGCGATAAAATCTCTGAGATACAAATGAAGCTTGACGGAAAGGGCGTATCACTCCATCCCAACAATCCCAGCAGCATTTCCATGTCTTTCTATTTGTACGGTTTTCTCCATCTCTTTCTCCATCAGGTATGTGTGGTATGAAAGTTATCCAAAAGAAGCGTGTTACAGAAGATGTCCTCTCTCCTTTACCTATCTTATGTTTATTTCTGTATCCCTGTCTTTTCCATCCTAGTTTATTGAGTTGATTGTAGGAAGAAATGGTCAGGGGAGAGAGTGAAAGATAAAGAAAGGAGTATGAATTTAAGATCCTAAAGAAAAACAAATACGTGGAAATAACAGAAAAGAGAGATTCCAAATGACAAGATAGTATGCTTTCCTCCCCCTTTCCTTACCAAACTTCAACCGATTCAAAGTGAAAACAAACTTGACCCAAAAAACAGCCGTTAAGGGAAGGACGGTGATCAAGTTGTATCAAGTTTACAATGTTTACACCTTTACTTGTAATTTCTGAAATTCTGGACCGACTTTTTACAAACTAGCTTGCGCAAGTTCAAATCCAGCTTCCGGGGAGATTTGGCTGGAGTTACATTACAAGTTATACACATTTTGCAGATTAGTTTCTGAACTATGCCAAATTCCAACAAATATGGTTGAAAATTAAGCATTTCACAAATTTCGCAAGTACATGTGTAAAAAGAAATTACTTTGTAAAATTTGTAAAATATCAAACAAATCTGGTCCAAAATTACAAATTTTACAAATTGTACAAATTCGAGTCTGAGAAATTAGCTTCCAGGGGAATTTGGTAGGAATTAAATTACAAATTTTACAAATTTTACAAACTAATTTGTAAAATTTGTAAAATATCAAAAAAAATCTGGCCCAAAATTACAAATTTTACAAATTAATTTGTACAATTTGCAAGATTTCAATAAAAGGCCCATAATTACAAAATTTTACAAATTTTACAAATTCGAGTCTGAGAAATTGGCGTCCAGGGGAATTTGGTAGGAATTAAATTACAAATCTTACAAATTTTACAAATATTACAAATTAATTTGTAAAATTTGTAAAATATAAAAAATATGGCCCAAAATTACAAATTTTACAAATTAATTTGTAAAATTTGTAAAATATCAAAAAAATCTGGCCCAAAATTACAAATTTTACACATTAATTTGTAAAAAATGTAAAATATCAAAAAATATGGCCCAAAAATTACAAATTTTACAAATTTTACAATTTTTCCAATTAATTTGTACAATTTGTAAAATATCAAAAAAATCCGGCCCAAATTACAAATTTTACAAATCAATTTGTAAAATTTGTAAAATATCAAAAAATCTGGCCCGAAATTAACAAATTTTACAAATTCGAGTCTGAGAAATTAGCTTCCAGGGGAATTTGGTAGGAATTAAATTACAAATTTTACAAATTTTACAAGTTTTACAAATTAATTTGTAAAATTTGTAAAATATCAAAAAAATCCGGCCCAAAATTACAAATTTGACAAATTGTACAAATTCGAGTCTGAGAAATTTGCTTCTTTCACAAATTTTACAATTTAATTTGTATTAATTTGTAAAATTTGTAATTTTGGGCCGCATTTTTTTGATATTTTACGAGTTTTCAATCTAATTTGTAAAATTTGTAAAATTTGCAATTTAATTCCTGCCAAATTCCCCTGGAAGCTAATTTCTCAGACTCGAATTTGTAAAATATTAGCTTCCAGGGGAATTTGGTAGGAATTAAATTACAAACTTTACAAATTTTCCAAATTTTACAAATTAATTTGTAAAATTTGTAAAATATCAAAAAAATCCGGCCCAAATTTTACAAATTAATTTGTAAAATTTGTAAAAATATCAAAAAATCCGGCCCAAAATTACAAATTTTGCAAATTAATGCAAACTAATTTGTATAATTTGTGAAAGAAGCTAATTTCTCAGACTCGAATTTGTAAAATTTGTATTTTTGGACCGGATTTTTTTGATATTTTACAAATTTTACAAATTAATTTGTAAAATTTGTAATTTTGGGCAGGATTGTTTTGATATTTTGCAATTTTTGCAAATTAATTTGTAAAATTTGTAAAGTTTGTAATTTAATTCCTACCAAATTCCCCTGGAAGCTAATTTCTCAGACTCGAATTTGTAAAATTTGTAATTTTGGGCCGGATTTTGTTGAAATTTTACAAATTTTACAAATTAATTTGTAAAAATTGTAAAATTTGTAAAAAATAAAAAAAAAATAAAAGTAATTTAATTCCTACCAACTTCCCCTGGAAGCTAATTTCTCAGACTCGAATTTGTCAAAATTTGTATAATTTGTAATTTCGGGCCAGATTTTTTTGATACTTTTCATTTTTTACAAATTAATTTGTAAAATTTATAAAATTTGTAAAAATCGTAATTCAATTCCTACCAAATTCCCCTGGAGGCTAATTTCTCAGACACGAATTTGTACAATTTGTAAAATTTGTAATTTTGGACCAGATTTTTTTGATATTTTACAAATTTTAAATTAATTTGTAAAATTTGTAAAATTTGTAATTTTGGGCCGGATTTTTTTGATATTTACAAATTTTACAATTTAATTTGTATAATTTGTAAAATTTGTAAAATTTGCAATTTAATTCCTACCAAATTCCCCTGGAGGCTAATTTCTCAGACACGAATTTGTACAATTTGTAAAATTTGTAATTTTGGACCAGGTTTTTTTGGTTATTTTACATTTTTTACAAATTAATTTGTAAAATTTGTAATTTTGGGCCGGATTTTTTGATATTTTACAAATTTTACAAATTAATTTGTAAAACTTGTAAAATTTGTAATTTAATTCCTACCAAATCCCCTGGAAGCTAATTTCTCAGGCTCGAATTTGTAAAATTTGTAAAATTTGTAATTTTGGGCCGGATTTTGTTGAAATTTTACAAATTTTACAAATCAATTAGTAAAATTTGTAAAATTTGTAATTTTTGGCCGGTTTTTTTTTGATATTTTTCAAATTTTACAAATTAATTTGTAAAATTTGTAAAATTTGTAGAATTTATAAAATTTGTAATTTAATTCCTACCAAATTCCCCTGGAAGCTAATTTCTCAGACTAGAATTTGTAAAATTTGGGAAAATATGTTCTTTACTTAAGAAATTTTACAAATTAATTTGTAATATCTGCAATTTCATTCCTACCAAATTCCCCTGGAAGCCAATTTCTCAGACTAAGATTTGCAAGTTTATGAAATCAATTCCTATACAAGATCTGCCTGAAAGCCAGCTCTCAGTGTGATGTTGATGCCCAGACCTCTCCCCGGCACATTATACATACTCTTCCCTCTTACGGGGGGGGGGGGCCGTGGAGGAGGGGAGGAGGGGGGGGAAATAAGCTGGGCGTGAATCGCAGGGACCAAACATTTTGGTGGATCTCATTTCAGTGGAGCGTTGTGCCGCAACCTTTTTTTGGATCCAGCAGCCACTTTTTGGATGGTTTCCCACTAGAATTCAAGGTCCGCGTGTCCATCAGAGCTTGCCCCAAGCCGACTAGTCAGGGTCCAATTTATTTCCACGACCTTTGGGCAAGTGAGACATGGGTGCTTCACGCTTCACAATATGTGTGTTTTGTTGAGCAGATGGTTTTCTTTTGGGAAACCTGAAGGAAACCAACGATTTGCAGGATCCCTTTTCCTGAAAATGGAGCGCTGAAGATGACTGAGTTCCTTGTCACCGGGCAGGTTAAAAGCCACCAAAACGATGCGGGGTGCGAACCAGCTTGTGTGTGTGTCTGTGTTTTTTGAGGGTACCCTTATTGAGGTTGGTTTAAGAAACACAAAAAGGAAACCCATCATTTTTGGTATTTAGCACCCTATACCCATGTATGTGCGGCATCGCCATTCACATGAGTCACAGTTGTGGCAAGGACGCCCCCTCCCATCCCCAGACCCTTGGGCCGCAAGGGCTTATTCTGGGGCTTCCCCATGGACTGGACTCCACCATGCGAGGGCATGAACTCGTCCTTCTACTCGCAGAAGACAAATACTGACAGCAGCTTCTGGGGGCGCTGGTCTGGGAAGAAGGCCCCTTGGCGCTGCTTTGGTGCCGTCGAGTTTTGCTGAACAAACTCTGACAAGTTCTGGTATCTGACTTGTTCATTCGAGTAATCCCCCCCAAAAAAGGACATTTTTTCTAGGGGCCTCTCAATGTTGAGGGGAGTTGTGTTTGTTTTTGGTGAATGTCTGGCAGGCGCTGGTGCGTTTGGACTTATTGTTCGCCGCTAAATCATGCAAAGTATCCATGACGTGGGTATGGTGTCAAAACAGAGGAGTACATACCCAATCATACCATGTGTTTGCATCGAAATCGAAACGGGCACTGAGGAAGGCAAGGAGAATGGCAACTCGCAGGCTCGCTCCGCGCTTTTCCCCTCAGCAGGCAATGTGCTTTGGGTGACCCGAAATGGGTTCCAACAAATGGGCTCCTTTCAGATGCTACACGCATCTTGCCGTCGGGTGCATTCGATCGGAACCCCGTTGACTAGAACCCGGAAGAAAAGGGTCTGACTGATCCCTTGCGCTGAACCTGGTGGATCTTTGTCCGCAAGGTCCGTTGAGGACTCCTGATTTCCAGCTTGGGAGTTGGAGTAGCATGCCCAGATTCTTGGGGAGGTGTTGCCCCCGCCTCCCGAAACAAAAGTGACTTGAAGACCAAGATCAACATCAGCTATGTCATGTTTATCCTGGGCACCCATTGCCAAGGTGCCCAAGCCAACCGCACCCCCAGGGTGCTGCACGTATGGGGCATGACATGGAACAACAAAACCAACGACTACGAGCCGGCAAACATATGCTGTTACCTGGACACCGAGCCGTCGACGTCCCTGGGCAACTGGCCAACTAGTGCAATTTGCCAGTCGATGCGGGAAAGCAATTTGATTCTGATGCTCATGATACTTGTTTTAAACCCCGCATGCAGGGACAACAGATTTGGCCGAGGAAAACGTGTTTGCAGCCGAGTCAAAAGTGTGAGATTCTTGGCTTAGGCAAGACGAGACGTCAAAACATGTATTGGACTTCCAAGGCATCAAGCTCTTGATGGTCGTCCCTCAAGCACTCAAAGTAGCAACCTGACCCTAACCTAACTTGACCAGTAAGGTAGCGACCCGACCACTATGGTCAAACAGTAAGCCCCCGCTCGCAACCGAACCAGCCCTAACCGCTGAGCAGTGATCACCGCCCCCCTCCCCGACCAAGTGAGAAGCGCCCACAACCCGTAAGTACTTTTACATGGTTTCAGGGGCTTTGTGGGCCTTATCTATGTAAACCTTTATGATCATGTAGAACTATATAGCTATCATCAAGCAGAACCAACCAACCAACCAACCAAACAACCAACCCACCCACCCACCCACCCACCCACCCACCCACCCACCCACCCACCCACCCACCCACCAACCAACCAACCAACCAACCAACCAACGAACCAACGTAACCAACCAACCAACCATGTAGGGACCCAAACACCCATCTCCTCCGCCTGCCTGGGGATGGGCAATGACTTTTCCAGGACCTAAGTGCTGCCCTCAAGACATCGAAGGCGCCGAAGCTGCCCAAGGCGGCCGACCTGCGCTTGGAGGCGCGGTGAACGGGCGGTTTTTGGGGGGGACGACAGAGGCGGCAGGACGCTGTCGACGAAGGTTGGTGCGTTTGAAGCATGGAGCATCTTTGAAATGGCCACGGCATGTGGTTTTCTATCTGATCCCAACATCAGGTAGCTGAAGCAATTCACTTGAAGGCATGGGGAAACCCCCCAGCGACTCAGGTTGGATATGAAAACCAGCAGGGTGTCTGAGCCATGTTCTTTTGAACCTCCAAAAGTGGCGATCGTTTCAATGGAAACCAAATTGCAACTTTTGAAGGGAAATCCGGTGACCCCTGACCAAAAGGAAACTCGAGACTCCTTTGGAAGGTTCAAATCCCTTCGGAGTTTCACAAAGGGGCACCCCAGAATTGTATGTTTCCTTTTCAGGACAAAACAAACAAACCAGGCCCACTGATTTGATCTTTTGGTGAGACCCCATTTGTTCCTTTGGGCCAAAATCCTCATGAACCAGGGGATCAGAGAGTCCGTGGCGACGACTGCGCTTTGAGGCCACCGGGTCTTGAGCTCCACACTCCCCTGCCCCGAAAAGGTCCCATGCAACGGACATTCCTCCACGGCCAGATGTCATTTCTCGGATTTGTCCAAAGGAGTGCACACTCCCAGCTTTTGAAGGCACACCCGGGTTTCTGCTCCGAGCCATCTTGCGGGTATCCCATTTTGCTGCACGCGAGGTGAAGATCTCTCTGGAGAAGGCGCTGAGAGGCCGGGTTTCGGAGCCAAAAGCCCGCTGTGTGTCTCAAAGCTAATGTTATCCCCACTACATCGTTTCATTGGGGTTAATTATAGTACATCCCATACATATACACCCTTATAATCATTTGAAGGCAGCAAAAGTCAATAGCCTTTGGGGACCGCTCAATTGACAGCCAGCAAATCTAGGCCTAAGCCAGCGACGTCTTATTGGGTTATAAAACGGCAAACAGCAGCGTGCAAATGTGTCGCAAAGAAGAAACGCGCGCAATACTGGCTCATCACACAAACAGAGTTTCACATAGGAGTTCTCAGCTAGTTTTGCCACCTCGGCTCCAAACCGGCGGTACGGGGTCTGACATGTGACGACCTCCAGATCTGGCGCCCGCTTGTGTGTTGTTTGGGTTGCCTAGCGCACACAGGAGGAAGCAATTGGTGAATCGACTTGGTTTCCTTTTTCAGTGCTCAGCGATCCAGACTAGTGTATATAGGGCGATTCAACACTCCTGGTCTAAACAACCTTCCTTTTGGTTTCCTGGGGGCCAGAGTCCAATGTTGCCCCGTGTTGACCTCTCCCGCTTCCGTTCGACCGGATCGGGACGTAGGGACCTCCGTGAGGCGGCCTGAAGATCCGGGAAGTGAAGCGGGACCGCATGCAGCGCGCCTTTGGGGGCACCAGCCAAAACCTGAAGAGCGTGAACATCAAGATCGACCCCGGCCAGGCCCTGCTGGCCGCTTTCGCTTTCACGACACTCTCGGGCGGTTTTGTGTTTATGTTTGTTGCGAGGTGTTTTTTTAGATTCCAAGGGGAATCTCAAGTGTGGCTTGATTTTATTGTGGGAAACCCTTTGCTGCCGGACGGGAGGCTTTACAGTGGTTCTTGTTATCCGCTTCCTCTTGAGTGGTTTAGGGCAGATGGAAACCGTAGCTGAGTACAGGATAGGTTACTCATTGCATCAAGCAAACATGTTGTTTCTTAGTTTTGACCCAGATACTGACAACGATTCGCGTACGTCGGGCAGATAAAAGATGCATGTGAGCAGTGCTGACTTCTGACAATGGGACCGCCTGTTTTCACCCGGTGCCAGTGGGCTACAAAACCAACCGGTTTAGCCACACCGGCTAGAGGTTCCCTTGCAATCAGGACACCCAAAGAGAGCTTCTTTCCCTGAAAAGAGAGGACTCTCTCGATGGTTTCTTAGACTTGGGGTTCCTACCGCGTTTTATATCTGTTTTGTTCTGGGGGGTCAAATTTGAGGCAAGCAATGTGCAAATATGGCCAAGCGCTGCATCTCTACGGGTAGTTATCTAAAACGCATCCACACACCTAGCGGGAAAATGACATCTTATATGCATCGATCCTGTCCTCTAGAAACGTGATGGTGCAACACAACATTGACCAAGCTAAGAAGGGAAACTGGATGCCAAATATGTTTTGCGGATCCCCTATGTAACACCCAGAAAGGCCTCCAGAAGCTTAACGGAGCTGGGTTTATGGTAGCAAACACCAGGCCAATGTAATACTGTCATCTACGCTAGGAAAGGGAATGCCTTGAGGCACGTTCGCCGATACTCACCCAAAAAGCGAGTTCATATTTGGGTCGCGATGAATATTGACAGCTGAACCATGTTCAAGGAATACGTTCAGGGGACACCTCAAGGGAAGGACAACACTCCAGAAATGAGCGCCTGAAGGGAAACCAGGGAGCACTTCTAAACACTTGGGTTGAACCGGAGCCCGCAGATACTTGAAGTCCGTCAGGTCAAATGTCGGGTTGGAGCAGCCCAAGGGAGGCACCAAGCCCAGGGGCAGGCCCCTCCATTGAATTTGATTCAGAAACCGTTTCCGTTTCACCTGGTCGCCGATGGTCTGAAACGAAGGGATCTCTGGGAATGCTTGAACATTGATTATACTTGATTGGGCGCCACAGGAGATTTATCGAATTCTGGTTGCTTGCATTTCATGCCAACTTTGCCGGCGGGTGAGGGGATCAATTCCTTTTATTCTACGATAGAACCCCCCTAATTCTCCCAAAAACCCCTAGAGCCCCATAGAAACCCCCTAACACCCTGGAGCCTGCTTACAAACCCCTGGACACCCCTAGACACCCCAGCCCCTAGCAACCGTCCGGGTAAGCGCGTTGCAGGCCGACGGCAGCGAGTACCGCCTGGAGGGGGATGGGCATTGGCCCTCCTTCAACGTGACCCCAGGGGACCTGGTCGTGATCTTCCGACACAAGGCCCGGGATCTCCGCATGAGTGGCTCGTGTTCTTTTGAGAAATCGGATCCCCCCCAAAATGCGGTGTGGCTCATCTTTTTTTCGAGGAATCGGACCCCTCCAACAAAATAAAAATAACATGAAAATGTGGTGTTCCTTTTGGTTCTCCTTTAAAGCTCAACCAAAGGGGTATCCCCCAAAAACAAGACAGACCTGTCAGAGGGAACCCTGCAACATGGGTGGCTTTAGTTTGGTTTCCATTCGATCCAGCCCCCAAAAATGGTCAAAGAAGTCACCTTTTTTTTTGTTGACGGTTATTTGGTTTAAATCTTGATCGATGCTTCCTTTTGGGGGACCCTCTTTGTTGGGTTTCATGTTAATGTGCAGAGGAGTAGAGGTTGTGTGTGCATATGTTTTGATTGCACTGGTACCCATTTAAAGGTCGGTTTGAAATCGAACTGTGTGGGGTCTCCCTACTCTAACACGAAAGGTTTGTGTGGCTGGTGATGGGAACAGCCACAGCGTTGGCATGCTACCCGTTGAGAACTCAAAGCACCCGGCAGGACAGATTCGGAAGGCATCTTCGATCAGGAATTGGGGTCATTAATTTGAGACCATTTCTGGGGGTCAACATCAACTGTTTCGTGATTTCCCGCTACTGCCACCTCTGGGGGCTGACTTTGATACTGGTAGAATAATGGGGCCAGAGGAACTACGTATACTCGGGCGCGATGGTAATTGGCTAGTCGGCAAATAACCCATAGCTCATTACCTTTCTTGTAAGTCCCGTGGATTGTTGCCCATTCCAAAGACATGACTTCAGGTTTTGCGTCCAGCCACGGGTTAGTGGACGCGAATTTTGACCCCTCCCAATTTGAGGCAGAGGGGGTCCCCAATTTGCAAGACTGGGGGCTTCGGAAGAGATGCGGGGAGCACTGATGCATAGATAGATAGATGGATGGATGCATAGATAGATAGATAATTAGATGGATAGATATATATACATATATATATATATACATATATCTATATATATATATATATATCTATAGATAGGAAGATAGTTAGATAGCTAGATAGATAAATAGACAGCTTGCTTGCCTGCCTGCCTGCTTGCTTGTTTGTTGCTTGCTTGTTTGCTTGCTTGGTCTCAGCTAGGTATTTCGAACCAATCGCCCCCTGTTTCCGCTTTTTCGCAGGCGCACACTTTCCTGCGGCAGGCTTCGGCCGCGGAGGCGAGGGTTGAATTGGTGTCGCCGCTGAACCGGCTGAGAAGAGCCTGAATCATTGGAATGGGGTTGCGGGATGTGATGAAACCAAACGGCATGATCACAACATATTAAGGTAGTCAAGGTGCCTGTGAAGGGAGACATGACCATGACCCTCGAGTTTTGACCATATCAATTCTGCAGGTGACCCTGCCTTTGTCCAATACTGATTCAGAGCCATGGGAAGAGATGTCATGGGAGGGTTCTAGCGAATGGCCCGGAATGGTCACTAGTCACTGGTCGCCTGATTTTTGTCTTATGACCACAAACGGGCCGTAGATGGAGGGCGCGCGCCCAGGGAGCGCTCCAGCTAGCGGTGCCGCTTACTGTGCGGGCCAAAGCCACGGAGCCGGTGCTGGCGGCCTGGTCCCCCACATTCAAGGCCCAGCCTGGGCGACGGGGGCTGCCTGGACCCCCTGAAGTTGATCAGGCTGTGGCTCAAAATTAAAGAGCTAGGGTTACGCAGGTGTTGGCCCATGTTTCCAGTTGCCAGGGTTGCATTTTGGCACCGGTTTTTTGAGCCATACCCATTTGGCTGTGGTCACAATCGTTCAAGGGGATCCCATTTTGGTTGGGATTGGTGAATTCACCACCCATTTTAGGTTACCTATTTTAGTGGTTGGATTGAATCGGATGTTCACTGGGGGTACGATTTGGGCTTTTGACCCATGGCCATCAATTGCTGGTGGTCTCTGCTAAAGCGATCGCCGCTTTTGGAGGTTCCCTTGAAAGGGAAATGGAGGAACCCCTGTTGCTGGTCCTTTGGCTTCTGCAATATCTGGCTTATTTGGCTTTGAGCCCTTTTGTGTCTGAGGGCAACGAGTGGATCGACTCATTTGCGTTTCACGTGGAGACAATGCAGTGAGAAGTACGTCAGGTAAATGTTACCAAAACCTCCAGGTCCCATCGGGCCAGTGAATCCTTATCGATATCAAGGACTCAACTTTAGTGTTTATCCAATGCTAGAAATGTAGGCGGGTATTGAATGGAAGGTTGTGTTTTAGGACCTTTGTCGGGCTCCATGTCAAGTGTTTTTGTTCTTCTTCTTTTGGTGAGATGTCCAACATTTTCCGGGCATCGGTTTGTCGCTTCTTGAGGCCCGTTCTAGGTTTGCTTGAGACCTCAGGACAGTCTTGGGGCTTGAACGTTCTGGGAATGAACCAATGAACCAATAACCCCCCCCCCCCCCGCGCCCCAACAAAAAGGTGAACCAATGAACCAAGCACCCGCCCCCCCCCCCCCCCGCCCAAAAAAAAAACACATAAAAGAAGGGAACGCAGGCTTGGGGTACGCAGTTGGATGTCTTCCAGCGCGGTCCGGCTGCTTCCCAGCAAGTCTCTTCGACAAAGAGGCGGTTTTGGTGGCCCAAAGACTTCGCCAAGAACCGGTTTCGAGGGCTCCATGGTGCTGCTGCGCTTCGCCAACCCCTTGGTCCTGCACGCGCCCTGCGCGGGCCCAAAGGAACTGGCCGGATGAAATTTGGGTGCTGAGTCAAGAACAAGTCGAAAGGAAACCCCGAAAGAAAGATTGGATTGAAGAGTTGGCGTTGTTGTCCCGGCTCCCTGTTTAAACTGAGGGTGCTTCAAACTATTTTTGAATTGGGGATCGGTTTCTTTTTTCTCACCACAGATGACGATGTTTTTCAGGCGTGACGTTTGGAATGCTGTTGGAATGGGACATCTGTTGAGATTGGTTGATGGTTTAGGGTTCACTGGACCAGCATCTAGGGTTGGATCGACATGCTTAAGCTATTTGAACCTCTACCCGGTGAAGAATTTGTCATTGGGATGCCATTGGGAATCCAATCGGGAAGGCCCGATTGTTTTTTTCCAGTGGTATCTCAGCAAGCAATTTCCAAATTCGTGACTTGCTTGTTGTTTCCCCATTTGGTGTTCAAAACACTTGAGCCACAATAACACATGACATTGCCACCCATTGGGTCACCCTGGGGCGCGGTTTCGGTTTCGTGAAGAGCACTGCGCTCCAAACTCGGGACCCATCCTTTTTGAACCCTCAGTTAGGCACACCTCATGTACCCAGGATTTCCCTTGTTTGCCTCTGATAATTTCGACCCAGACATGTTCTCAGAAGCCTGCGATCAGCCCGCCTTTGATCCTGTTTCTTGCCAACCTTTTTTCTAGGATTTTGTGGCTTTTATCCTCCCTCTTGGCTCCCTTAGACCGGCTAAGTGGACCGCCCCAACCCTTGCAAGAGAGCTACTCACCATTTGGGTGTGGTTCCCTTATTTGGGGTACCCCTTTTTTGTGGCTTTAAAGGGAAACCAAAGGAACACCATTTTGGGTGGTTCCTCAAAAACACGACACACCCATTTAGCTTCCCCGTTTAGTGGGAAATAGCTCAAATCGTTTCAGTGCCCATGAAAAGGTCCCTTTGGTCAACCCTTTCACAGAATGGGTATGGGTTGGAATTATAAACCCTAAACCGCCTAAACCCTGAACCCTGAACCCTTGATCAACCCTTTCCCCTCTGACCGTTTCATCGACAGGCAAGGCCTGCAACGTGACCTTCGTCTTGGAGAACGAGGGGCTGCCCAAGGCCACAGAGCCCACCAAGCGGGGCCATCTGCAGGCCCGGAGAGATCCCCTTCTCGTGACCAGAGGGACCTACCCAGTGGCGAGATTTCAGGAACCCGTCCAAAAAATGGTTGGCTTCCTTGTGGTTGTTGTTCCTCAAACAATCAAGACAAAAAGGGTACCCTCGACAAAAGACAAGCCCACAGTAGCGTACCCTCCAAACAGCGGAGACACCCAGTCCAGCACCCCCCGACGGGTTTTTGGACACTTTACTTTTTGGACCTGGGTGAAAAAGCCGTAGTTGTTCCTCAAAAAGCGGAGACACCATGAAAAAGCCGTAGTTGGGATCCGGGTGCTGGGCGCAAGGTGACAGTGCACGTGCAGCTGGAGGGCCCGGCCCTGGTGCCGAAGCTTGCGGCAGAGGCCTGCAAGGAGCAGCGAGCGGAGCGGGCGGAGCGAGCTTTCGGGGCGATGGGAGCTGGGGGGATTTTTTGGGGGCTCATGGGACCACGGGTGCTTGTGTGAGTGTATGGGTAATTTGTGTGGGTGTTTGTGTGTTTGGTATGCCTTCAGTTTAAGTATTCCTGAAACAAGTTGAAGAGTTGTTTTGGGCCCAGGTGGGTGTTTTGTTTTCGAGGGTACTCTTTTTGGGGGCTGAAAAGGGAACTCTCCGATAGGAGTCCTTATTCAGCGGGCCCGTTCCGAAAGGAACCCCTTGAAACGGTGTGGGTGAATATCACCTTTCGGGCATTCGGGGCTTCGGACGCCTCGTCTCATTTCGGTCTCCCATCGGTTGGTTTTTAGCCCGTCTTGCTCAGCTTGCTTTTTTTCCGACTGGATCAGAGCATCGGCGATTCCAAGCCGGACTCAAGCAGATGGGCGATGCCAACCATCCGATTCCATGGGACCTAGGGACTGGCCTAGGGACTGGCCTAGGGGCTCTTCAGCCTGCGTAAGACTTTGAACCCTCCCGGCTTCGAGGCATTTTGCCAAGGGATGTTAGGACTTTAACTTTTTGCCAACTAATGCCTTTCCATTAAACTAAAAGTTCAACTTGTAGCAGGGGAGCAGAAGCAACCGAGCAGGCAAGAGGGAATCTGAACCAAGGGCGCCCTGCCCAGGAGACCTTGGCAAAGCGCCACGTGAAGCAGTACAACCACCAGGCACGAGCTGATCGTGATTCCTCTCTAGGACCGTGGGGGTTCTGGGCAGTGCCCTCTGAATTCATTCATCACCTACTAGCTTGCCGTTTTCCTGTCCCTCTAGGTTCTTTAGATTTTTAGGTTTGTAGGTTTTTAGGGTTTTGTGGTAGTAGGTTCCCACTCTGCCACCAGAAGATAGACTTTGGCAGACGATCTGCGGACAGTTGGGTTGTCTATGGCTTCATAACTTATTCAGTTCAATGGGTGAGGGGTAGAATAATCCATCTATCTCTACTGATTATCGCCTCATTCATGGGGGTTGAATCATAAGTGAGCGAAGCCAACTGAGTCATCAAGTCTACTTACCATGTAAAGACTAAGCAGGGCTTCCCACCCCATCTGAGACTCTCTAAACCTAGTTCAACATTTCTCCAAGCACTCACAACGTGGGGTCGTTTGAACCCGCAGGGAAGCGACGATTGGCTTTGTTTGCAACACCTTTGCTTGCCATGTCTAGGATTGTGATGCTTGCGATGCATGCTGGTGATGTCGGCCCGGCTGTCGGTGCTGGGGGCACAAGCTCAAACTTTTGGAACACAAGTTGACCAATCGAGCCGAGTGAGGCGGCCGACTGCTTTCCCACCTCCGGACCCAAGTGTCATCTTTGGGCTCGGAGCAACCCCAAAAGGTGAGATATGGTGAGATACAGGGAACGCAGAGCCATGGTGTACCGCGTTCTGCGAGAAGTTTGGGGCCGCTTCTGGAGGAAACAAGGCCAACTGCAATCCCCCCAAAGAGCTAGGGCCAGGGCCAGGGTATCGGGTTTGTCTCAAAACCAGGGGGACCCCTCCAAACAGGTGGTTCCTTGTGGTTTCCTTCCAAACGAACCCCAACGGGTATCACAAAGAGACGCTCCCAACTTCACTGCGTGGTGTTGATGTGGTTGTGGGTCAAAAGTAGGTACCCAGCCTGGAGCCCTGGGTGAATATCCTGGTGTTGTAGTTTTGACCCATACCCATGGCATGTCTGCGCTTCGTTGCCCGCGTTGAGGTGACGCTGCGCACCACGTTGGCCAATTCGCTGGCCGCCGGCTTGCCGGTGAGGAAGTATGCGGGCAACGAGGCGCGGGAGCGCGGCGGTGGCCGAGCTGCTCGGCCAGAAGATCCGGAAAGGCGAACTATTTTGGAGTCGTCCGATTTGGAACGGGTGTTTCTTGGTTGGTAATCCTAGGCAAGCTATTTTGGATTCCAAAAATGTAAGGTGTTCCTTGGTTGGTTTGGATTGGTGGTGGGTTTTGAACCCTGCTTGTGGAGGGTAAATGGGAAACCCCTCCCAAACCACCAATCCAATCCAAGCCACCAATTGGAGGGAAGCTGATTTTTGACACACACACACACCCACCCACACACCCATGCAATGCCTGGGTTCGGCTCCTGAGCCTTGGCCAATCCTAAAAGCTTTTCTCGTCGCTTGACGACCGAACCCGAATGAACATGGGAAGTGCATAGCTTACAGTACCCCGTGAAGACCAGGTTCTTCTCGGAAACGGAAGCGAGTTTTGCCTCACCACACCCGGTTTGGTGGTTGAAGGGCGTATCGGGTAGTATATATGCGCATCAGTTCAGTTAGAATATACAATCTTCAAGACTGCCTGGTTTGAATTGAATTCCGTTTTCAACGCCAGACAAATCCTATTTTCTCCAATCCTCTAGTACATGATCACCCCCGGAAGGGTGGCAAATTGGTTGGTGTCCTTAAAAACATCTACTCTTCCACCAGTGTCTTCGCAAAATAGGTTCATCCAAGTAGCGCAGGGGCGGTCCTTTTGCCGAATGCATTTCCTGTTGAGTCCCTTCTCCAAATCTTGGTGATCTGCATGCCTTTTGTCGAGTGTTTGACAAAATCAGGGACCTGCGCAGGTCAAAATCGGGGTCCTCATATCGCGATCATTCTCAGTCCCAGTGTTTTGGACGAACTTTTGGAGAAGGGACAAGAAAGCATGTTTCCTGGCGGGTTTAACGCTTAAATCCCAAGAGAAATCAAGATTGGTATACCTCTTCCAAGAGAAATCAAGTACCAATCGGGGGGGCTGTTTGTTGCTTCGGTCATAACCATGGTTGGTTCACCTAACAGGGTTTCCAGGTTCAACATGCAAGTGTCGATCTCAAAACGATTTGGCAAAAAGGACCCCTGTTCGCTTCTGTAAGGAACTACCCCCGAGAAGTCGTTTGGAAGGCCTTAGATTGTTATCACAGTTTCAACTACTACAGCCAGAAGCTTCCTTTTAACGAACCCCTGCTCAGCACTTCAGCAAAAGGACGCCTGTAGTGTTGTCTGCATTTCGTGGTTCTTGTCATTTGCTTGACCTCGGAGTGTAACAAACAAGCAGGACATCCTTCCAGGCCCTCTATTTTGACCTTCCTCTATCAGCTTTTCCGCTTCTTTCGGGGTTCGCTTTTTGGGGGTGAGGGGAACCAAACAAATCCAAGATCCATCTTGTGTTTCCTCAGGTTCGCTTTTTGGTGAGGGGCACCAATTAAAAGAAGTCCAAGACCCATCTTGGGAAGCCCAAACTCCAGGATCCATCTCTCTTGAGGTGGACTTTTTGGGGGGTTTCAACCCCAGACCCATCTGACGAGGTGCGTTTCCCCTGCGTGGTGGTGGTCTGGGAGTCCGCCGCCGGCGCGGACCTTGTGGCCTTCAACAAGGCCGCGGCGGCGCTGGGGCACCACGCCGCCCGGGCCGCCCAGGCCCGGACGGGCGTGGAGCGGAGTTTTTTCCAGCACGCCGTTTGTTTGCTTGTTTTTTTTTTTTTTTTTGGGGGGGGGGGGCGGAGAACGCCGCGGTTAAAAAAGGGGGCACCCCGAAAGGTGAGCAATTTTGTTTGGGGGGTTCTTCTAAAAATACGTTTGCGGCAGGACACTCAACATGTTTGGGGTACTTTAAATTGCATAGGGGGCAGGAATCTGCTTAAGAAAAATGTTAGAGGGTCATTTCGAGCTTACTGATTGAGGCGCAGCGCGTCTGTGCGGGAGCCAGGCGCCCAAAGTTGTGTCATACCGGACCCGGAAAAAGCACGAGGTCATGCCACATACGACGTGATGAAGCCCAGTTGGTCCAAGTTTGACCTTAATTTTGGTTCGGTGGTTGTTTAGGTGGGTGGGTAGGTGAGTCTTTATTTGGTCTCAGTTCATTTGGGCCTGCGGTGTGTTGTCTTCGGATTTCTCCAGACCAGATTTAGCAGAGGATGTCCCGATTGATTGGACCAATTCCCCACGCAAAGAGAACCCGTGACTATGGATCCAACATGGACATGACGCCCTGTGTGCCTACCCTCTAAGCATGGAAGCATGTGATGCAATTCCCGCAAAGCCCTGGCCACACTAGTAATCCCCTTAATCCCCTGTAAACCATTGTAGATAGGGCTACAAGTACCAACCATTTGGCTAACAGTCCCCAGACCGTCCAAGTACGCGTTTTTTGTTGGCACTTGGGGTTGATCCGGAAATCCATGTCAGACCTTCGGCTGGTGCTGCCACCTGCAGCTTTTGCCCAAGAGCCTGGGCTACGACCACGTGACTTTGAGCGACCGGGAGCTGGAAGAGGATCCGGATCCACTCGACACCTCCAAACATATGGTTTCTATTGGGTAGACGAAATGAGGAACAGAGTCAGAACATGGGTTATTTTCAGTGGACCCCGTTTTTGTGGGCCCAGAGACGGACAGCTCCTAGGGCAACCCAACCCTTTGGGGCTCCCCGAAGTTTGCCGCTGTTTCAGTTTGGTGGGTTCCCTTTGAACAACACAACTATGTTGTTTGGCTCTGTTTTCCTTCGACCGACCACCCTTGCTGAGTGCGCGTGAGATCAACCATAATGTTTTGTTGGATAGGGTTGGCCTACCAACATGCGGCCCGACATGCGGTTTGGATGTATGTTCATGTGAAGTCAGCCACACCATTTGACTTGAAAGAGAGGGTTTCCCTTAAGATTCAATCACCTACAATTGGTTGAAGGGTTCCCTATTGAACCAGCCACAGAACAGTTGTTCTCGATGTGGTAAATCGTTTGATGCCATCAAGATCATTTCGGACAAAGTTGCTCCCCAAGTTGTTCTGCTGGTATTTGTCTGGGCTTCTCCTTGGGATAGGTTTGCTGGAATCAAACACCAAAACGGTTGTTGGTTGGTGTTGTGTGTCCCTTTTAAAACCAACGAACCATGGTTTTTAGATTGTGTTCCTTTGCAACCAGCCACCAAGCATTTAGGTTTAGGAAGGTGTTGCCCTTTCTTTTGCCTTTGCCTCCTTTTTGAAATCAAGCACCAAACACAGATTGCCGTTTTTGACATCAAGAGAATCCAGCAACCAAAGCAGAGATGACCAACGGAGGTGGTCCTCTTCGCATAGGGACACCCCCGCTCCTCACTTTTTCGAGGAGCCGGTGCCCGCGAAGGTGAACGGAAGGCGAAAGCGGATGCGCACAGAGGCGACAAAAGCGGAAGGGCAGAGGGGTGGCCATGGGTCAAAATCCAATTTCCTTTCTTTGGAGAGGGCCCTTTGAAATCAAAGACGCCAAAAGGATGTCTCAATCATATGCATGGCCAGAGGTCTGGGTTATGGCCCTGTTCAGGGGCACCCAGGGATTCTTTTCAAGACTCGCGGGCAAGCTATGAGTTTGAAAAGAACAACGTTTGACTGGCTTGAATAGGCCGTGCAGGTACTTCAGAAGATCCCATGTTTCCCGCGGCTGGCTTTGAACGGAAGGCATTCTTCCAAGCTGTCTCGCAACAGCCTAGTATGAAAGGGATCTGCTTGAATGCAGGCAAAGCATCAAAAGGGCGGAGTGCCGCATCCATTTCGGTGGGGCTTTTTTTGATGTGCCTTTTTGGGGTGGCTGTAAAGGGAAACCAAAGGACAACCACTGGCCTGGGAGGTTTCCGATTCGTATTTTGGAACTCTGCCTAGCCTTCATCTCAGATTTCGATGGTGGAGGGGAAGCCCTCCAGAAGTGCAGGACAACCTCTATGGGACGTCCCATTCAAACAGGCGTCATCAACGCGTTCCTGTGACCCAACAAGTAGTTTTGAGGGCAAAGATTCATGAGAATCCGCCAGCAAAGTGTCCCCACACAAAGCGAGAAGGAGCCGCTTGAACCGGCCCCAAGATCCAGGAGATGCTAAAAACCCCTCTTTTGGGATGATAAAACCGCCGTCCCTTCGGCTGGTTTCCGCAGGAGCAGAGCTTTTTGCTCCGGTTCAACCTGGGGCCTCCGGAGGGCTTTTCGGACGAGGAGGAGGAGGAGGAGTTGCCTTCGAGTGATGCAGCGGGCCAACCGGGTCAAAGTACCGCAGAGCTGAGACTCGGCCAGGAGCGGAGGGCCATGGAGGTAGGTCTGATTCAACTTCGATGCTGCGGGTCAATGGGATCCCATTTTGGTTGAGATTGGTGAATTCACCAGCCATGTTAGGACCTATTTTAGTGGTTGGATTGGGATGTTCACTGGGTACGGGCCTTTAGTTTTGACCCATCGCCATATGATCACAGAGCAGGGGCAAAGTTTCAAACGCGGAGGGGACTTGTGCAAAGCACCGGTGATGTCTTGGAAGTTTGAGCTCCCTTCGCAAAGGCGAGTGGAGGACGAGGAGGGTGAAGAGGAGAAGGAGCTCACCAGGCTCATCCGCGAGAAGCAAAGCTTCTCGGCCCTTTTCGACGAGGTCGACCTTGGCTTAGTCGCAAACACCGTAACAGCAGATGTAATGTTGACCCCGGATTAATAAAGCCCTGTTTATTAATATGGGGGTGTTCCCCTCCAAAAGTGATAAATCCCCGCTAAAACCGGGGACGTCAACATTACTTTGTCAGCCAAACGGGTGGATGAAGGTTGAGCAGATAGTCCTAACAAGAAACGAAAAGGCACATGGGTCTCTCCCAATTCCCGAATGAAAGGGCATGAATTGGCAAAACCTTTTGCTCCAATTCAAACGTTGTGGACACCGTCCCACTCCATAGGTTTCCATTGGTTCAGTTCGCGCGCAGAACGAAAAAGACACCTTACATTGAGCCACAATCCACACCGAAGGGGTTGATGAAGCTTAGTGGGGGACAGTCTTTCTTAGTCTTTCTTGCCGCGGCTTGTTTCCGTTTTGATTCTTGTTGACACTCTTTGAGCCTTTATATAAACAGAGTCCTATTGAATTGCCTTGCGGAAAGTCTGGTGAATCGGCGAGCTGGGACTGAAAGGCCACGGAGAGTGGAGGGCTTTGATGTGTTTTCCGAGCCGAAATACCTGGTGTAGTGCACGTCTAATCTAAGGGAGCGCCCGGGGTCCTAGCGCCTTTCGAGGGCGCGATGGAGTGGAACCCCGGCCTTTGCCCAAAACGGACATGGCCACTGGGGATCTCTTATGAGGTGAGAGGTGAGGATTGGAGATGTAAAGATTGGCTCTTTCCTTCCTTCACGAGCCTGTGAGCCGCTGTGAGCAAGGATGAAGAAATACATGTCGTAGTCATCCATTCCTCAAGCCACAGTGTGACTCCAGACAACCACTCAAGCATCCAGACAGGTAGTGGAATGGCTGTAAAATGGACTATATATGAATGCAAAATGAATAGCTACTAGTCACTTCTATCCTCACCACTCACTCTTGGGGTTCTCTGTCTCTCGCTGGTTTAAAGGAACCCAAATTCCAAACAAAATGGCCACTGGGTTTAAAGGGAAACCAAAAGCACAACTACAATTGTTTGGGTGCCTCTTTGACGCTTCCTTTGGCCACAATGGGCGTGGACAGCCTTTGGAGTTTCAAGACATAGGGAACCACGATGGCCCACAGGAGCGCTTGCCCAACACATTCTTCAAGGAACGTCATGTAGCTTTGAGAGTCTTCCGGGTTTACACCCATATTTGCCAGAAAACCAGACCCTGTTTCGGGCAACGCCAACTACATGTGGCGGAAACACGCATGGCAACTTGTGTAGGCATTTTAGAGTACATCCTCAGGGGTTGCATGACCAGGTGTGTTGTCTTTGGTAGTTGTTTTTCCTTTTTTCTCTGAACAAAATGGGACCCAACAAATTGGTTTGGTGGGTTGTCTTTTTGGTCGCCTTTGGAACAGTCCAACACAACGGGTACCTTGAACAAAACAAACAGCCCCAGATCTTCCTTAAATCGGTGCAGGGTACTTACTAAGTGCTTAGTCACCATGGTTACAACCCACCGCCAAAACCATGGTTGCACCTTTCCGAATTTGCTTATAGCTTGGCAACTTGTATCGAGCTCACCGATTCAGGGGTGGAATTAGCTCGCCCTTGCAGGTTTTTTGCTGGGCTGTTCCCTTTTCTCCGGCTTGGGAAAACGCCATTTGCCCAGATCACGGGGTCAGTCCCCTTGTGATGTACTTAGCCACTTCCTCAGTTAGCTGAGCCCCCCTCAAGCCGCGGGTTGTGCATCTCCCTTGTTGTCCCCCAAACTTCCTCAGTCGGCAAGGGACCCTTTGGGATGGTCGCCCCTCAAGCCGCAGGGTTTCGGGTTTCCCCGAGGCGACCTTGACCAGGAGAAGCGGAAGTGGTCCCAGCGCAAGGAACGGCAACAGGGGGAGCGCCAGGAGGAGGAAGGCCTCCTAAGGGAGCTGCTGGAAAAGGACAAGACCCTTGGACGGAAGCGCTGGCTGGGTGTTTCTAGTTTTTGTGGGGGCTACTCCTGGGTCCCTAGCTCTGGATTGTTCATGGATCGCCTGACGAGCGGCCCATGAAAGGGGGCCAAACCATTTGGAGCGCGTCTGGTTCTGTTTGGGAGACCTCTTTGAACCACCATTTGGGTAAGTTTGAGCATGTCACTTTGGACCCCGTCTACAGCCAAACTGGCAAAAATAATCGCTCCTTTTTGACTGACACCAGGCATGCCTATAAGCCACCACTTTGATAGTACATGAGGGATATTTATCCTCTCCCGCATATCATGACGAAACCTCATATGTACCACGGTCCAATGTTACTGCTAGCTTAGTGGCTGGTTCTGCGGTTTATGTCCATTTTGGAAAGGTCTTCCAACCCTTCCAATTCATAATGCCTCACTTCCTGAGTTTCTGACTTTATACTTCTAGGGATCGAAGACCATTTTAGTGGCAAACAGAAAGCTCGGGCTTTTTTTGGCCCATCTGCTCGGAAAGCGGAAAGCGGAATGTGTGCGTGCGTGTGTTTTTCCATTTGGGGTACCCTTTTCAGGTTGGTTTACAAGGACACCAGGCCGACTTCTTCGCACCAAGGAAGCGGGAGCTCGAGCGAGTGGAGCGGGAGATGAATGGGCTGCGTGCTGAGCGAGCGAACCGGGTCCAAACGAAGCGGGGCGTGTCTTGTTCTAGGGACCCTGTTGGTTTCCCTTTAAAAGCACTGGTTTTACTAGGTATTCCTTAGCTAGGTTTACCCTTTCTAGGTTTTACTAGGAACTGGTTGTCCTTTTGGTTTCCCTGTCAAAACCCACCCAAGACTGGGTTCGTGGTTTCCCTTGTGGGTTTCCCTGAAAAAAAAAGAAGAAACAAAAAAGAAGAAACAAAAAACGCAAAAAGAGGGGTTCCCAAAAAAGAGACGGCAGACTTGAAACCTGGGCGGAACCGGAACTGAGGAACTCTGAGCTTGGGTCCCTCCGAGTTTTTGTTGTTTCCATTGAGGGTTTTGGATCCCCGCAGAAAGACATGCAGAAGTTTGCAAGGAAAGCTTCTGAAGCTTTGCCGGTGTGGCTGGGTTGGTGGTTTGCGTGTCCTTCTTTTTGTTCCTCTCGAATTAGGGAGTTTCTGGGGAGGGCTGCATAGAGACAAACCTCAAGCACAAGTTGGATGGGCCGCACCGGGATCCGTACAGGTTTTGGATGTGAACCCCGATTGGTTTCGCTATGGAACATTGTGGAACATTGGCATTTTGGCATCACAATGGTTATATTCACACGTGGAACAAGTTCCGAAACCAAGCAGAAAACGGTCCTCTCGTGGAGTACACATGCCAAGTGTATCTCTCAGCACACTTGACATGGTGTGCTTTGCGAGGCCCTGGAAGCCATTTTGGGGCAATCTTTTTTTGACACATTCGAAAGAGGTTAAGGGGAAGCCTGGTTGCGCCCGGAAATTCCTTCCCACATTGGCACCTGCGCCGTGTTACAGGGGCGATCGGGTGCGTCAAGTAAGTGGTTAGCAACCGTTGTTGTCACTCACTTTGGGGGCGTCACACCATGGCGTTGGCCCTTGGTTACTATCCATCCGTACCAACTCCATCGCCATGAGTTGTGTACTAGGCTCCGCTCGAACTTTGAATTCCAGCTTCAAGCGGAGTCTTGGCTGCAAAGTTCCCAGAGCGCATCGCCGGTTTCAGCTGTCAAACAGGGTGGTCCTTGGAGCTTGTAGGCGGAACCCATTCCATTGGGTCATGAAGATTACTCCTTTTCATGGTTTCATCGTTTTCCTTGGTAAGAATATCATTGGTGCCTGGCTTCCAGAAAATTGCACTCAACTTGAGCCCGGAAGTCAAAATCCGATGAAGCGGCAAAGGTTCTGCCTCAAACCTGGGGTCATCTGGGATCAAAATATATGGGGTCGACCGAATATGAAGCATAATCTGAAAGTCGTGTTCCGTGATCACTTCAAACTTGGGATCAGGATGTGAGGGAGCCAGGAGGAACCTCGGAGGTTCCTCGTTTTGAAACACGGAAGGGTGCCTTTGGGAGAGCTGGTGCAAGATGGTGGTTGTTTGCTTGCTTGTTTGCTTGCTTGTTTGCTCGCTCGCACGACGGCCTTGGATGGGCGCTTGATTGGGTCGGCTTGTTGGTTAGGTTGGTTTGGTTCTTTGTTTGGGAAATTTTGTGGGCTGATCAGCTCATTGGCTGCCTGCTGGCTGGCTGCTTGCTGGCTGGCTGGGCTGGCTGGCTGGGGCTGGCTGCTTGGTGTCCGTGGCTGGGTGGGTGGTTGGGTGATGGCTTTAAGCCGTTCGAGTTCATGCGGAAATCCGCACAAAGCATCTCACCTGCCAACTGCGAAATGAAGGGAGATTTGGGTCAACGCAACAAGGAGAGGCGCCTCAAAGGCACATGTTCAACAGGAGCCAGAGCTGAGCCGAAAGAGCGGCAGCGAGCCCAGTGGATCCATTAGTAATCACTTGAACACTTGAGGGACCAACTCTGGTTATGCTTCCAGGCAAGCAACATGTAAAACGTATGGCTGTGGGTCAAAACCAATGGTACCATTGTGGGGCAGGTGCACCACCCATTTTAGTCTATTTTAGTGGGGATTGGGATGTTCACTGGGGGTGCGAGATTTTGACCCATGGCCATAAAGGCAAAAGTAGCTGGTTGCCACTACAACAGTAACTGGAAGCACTGGGTACTCTGGGGGTGAAGCGCCTCAGATGTAGTGTTGAGATGAGCTGAGGAGAAGAAGTGGGTGGACGAATTTATGCAGACGCACAACTACCAGAACCAGTGGGTTTGCGCCCGGCGCTCGTGAAAATCGAAGGTTTCCAACAGCAGCCAGGTGCTTGATAGAGGGATGGATCTTTTTTCAAGGACTCAAGAGAGATAGAGAGAGAGAGAGAGAGAGAGAGAGAGACACAGACACACACAGACACAGACACAGACACAGACACAGACACAGACACAGACACAGCAAGAGGTTTCCCACTGACAGTGTGGCACCCCGAGAGGTTCACACAAGGCTGTCGTGGTGTATTTCAAAGCTTTTGGCACGGAGCAAACAGCTTAGAGCATCAAGGGCATTTCCACGAACCGCTTTTCCCAAATCCCGGCAATTGAACTCCTCGCTGGTTTTTTCCCTGATCATCCGGTTCCAGCCTAAATAAAGCCGTTGCCTCGGGCGAAAGCGGAGGTCTTCAAGCCGGCCATGGTGGTCCGAGACCACCCCAAGGAGGATGGGAAGATTTGCCGGCGCCTGGTCTTTGACGAGGTGGTGAAGGCCGGCCAAACGGCCCCTGCGAAGGACGCAAACGACCCATAAGCCTCCATTTGCTGAAATGAATATGTTATACTTTCCCCTGGTTTTAAAGGGAATCGATTTCACTGCTGGAAATATGTTCTATTTCTTTTCCAGGGGGCTTCTCAGCAAATGGAGAGGACTCAACTCACCGAGACCTGCACACTCAAGCTCCATGGCTTACGCTCCAAAGGCCACAAAACTGTTGTGAGAGGAATCCTTTTGGGAAAACCCATTTTTTGGCATAGTGAACATTTGCAGATTATATAGATAGGCCTTTCCTCACATGTTTGCGTGTTGGGTGGCCACTTTCTTCAAGACCCTTTGCAGGTATGCTCTTTCAAGTGACACAGTCTAACGCTTTTTCTGTGTGCCCCTAAGTGCATATCGAATATTGTTTTGTGCATCTTTACGTTCAGGATTGCATTTTCAATGTTTGGGGCACGTAGAAATGACAATTATTCTCATCTGGGGAAATATGTCATTTCTTTTACGGAGTGTGGATAGACTTCAAGAGGAGTATTTTTGTTGCGAACGAAGAGGAGAAACACTCTGGCTCGAGAAAGCAATAATGTTGACCTACGATTAGTAAAATGACCCTAAATAATGCTAACTGACTGCCCCAATCCAATAATAAAATGATCTAAATAATGCTAACCGTTTTTTCCCCAACTGAAAAAAACATGAAAAGATGACAAAATAATATAAACCAATTCAAAAAGTTAACCTTCCCCCCACCTAAATGAATGAATCCTCAGTTCCCCAGCTCACAAAATAACTCTAGAATTCCCATTGGAATCCATGCAAAATGCAGAGTTTTATTCAGGGTCAGTGCTCCAAACCATCATCCCCCACGAGATTTGCATTATCTTTTTTCATGGCCAAGCTTGGCTCATCCCACACTTCATTCTAGATTTATCCCATTCCACAAATTTACGGGATCCCTTTCTTTTACAATTCCTTTAAAACGAACCATCAAAATCAACACATTGACCCTGGCAGCAAGGGTATCCCCCATGAACCCTGATGCACGAAATGATAGCCACACCCTGAATAATGCTAACCACATTCCCCCATCAAAAAAAAAGATATGATCCCCTTATCTGTATTCATGGTCAAGCTTTCCATTCCACTTGGCTCATCCCACACTTGATTCTAGATTTATCCCAAATTCACAAATTTATGGGATCCCTTTCTTTTAAAATTCCTTTTAAACAACCATCAAAATCAACACATTGACCCTGGCAGCAAGGGTATCCCCCATGAACCCTGATGCACGAAATATTAACCAGACCCTGAATAATGCTAACCAGATTCCCCCATCAAAAAATGCAAAAGTTGTTCCTACAGGTTGGCCCAATACTACTTTAGAATTGGCCCAAAACTAAATTAGAATCCACCCCAAACAAAATAAGAGAAACATCACGCCCAATACTACTATTGAATGGGCCCAATTCAAAAGTAGTTTTCGAAAGCCAAAATAATCAGAGCCCAATACTAAACTCCTTTAAACAAATCCCGACCCTGAAAATTATCCCCTAATCTTTATTTAGGGTCATTCAGGGGGGGGGGGCCGCATTTATTAATCATAGGTCAACATTACTGGGCAGTTGCCATGGAAAGCCCGGTGTGTCAAAAAAAAGCGCAACCCCAAATGGGTATTCAAGCGGGGGTTGCAAGCAACTGTTGAAGGCCAAGGGCAAGGTCACTGACGACTACTGGCCGGGGGCCTCGGCGTTGCGAATGTTTGGCTGCGCTTAGCACACACGGTGAAGAACACCTGGAGGTCTTGAAGCAGCCCTCTGCCTATTTTCAACCACAAAGTGGTTCGTGCTGGTCTGTCTCAAAATAGGAAGCCTCTTTTTGGATGGTTTAAAGTGTGCAACACGAAACCGGTTGCTACGCGATGGATTTCTTTCATGTTCAGAAATACTTGTGTTGAGCCAGGGTTTTCCTTCCCCTCTCTTTTTGGTTGAACATTACGTTCTGGCGTTTAGAGGGTTTCTAAAATTGCGAAGTAAACTCGAGCCTAACGCAAGGGAATAAAAGGTGAGCATGTGCACAAAATATGACGTGCTCGCCGCTTCAGGGGTGAACCGACCAGACTCTCTTTTGGGGACTCCTTTACAGTTTGTTTCCTTCCACATTGCCACCTATTCATCAGAATAGCTGGGGCTGCATCTTCGGGCCGGCTCCGGAGTCCGGATGCGGAAAGTGAGCAACTGAGGGTCCAGTTGGAGAACAACGAGTGGGCCTGGGCCTCGTGAGGGCTTGACCCTGAATTCGACGTACTCAAAAGGCCGGGAAAATTCACACGACAATGTGTCTATTCATTAGGCCCTATGTTTTTGAATCAGAAAACACTCCTCCATGGTTGGTGGACGAGATCCCCCACCAGTCTTTAGTTTGAAGTCTGACTCCTATATTTGTTAGATATGCGTCATCGTGTTGTGTGTTTTGCCTAACAGTTGAAAGTTTGGGGCCTTTGCCCAGATAAGCACTGCAGTGGTTCGGAGCGGCTCCGGGTTGGGGTTCCGGAAGGGTTCCGGGAGTTGCTTTTGGCGATAATTACTGCCTGACTGTTTGTCTTTTATTTTTGTGGGGTGCGGGGAGTGGGGCTTTTCCTTCTTGGGATTGATTTGAAGGAAAAACAAAGGGAAGCCCTCCTTTGACGTGATCCCTCATGAGGCAAACCCATATTGCTGAGAAGGATCCCTGGCGTGCTTTCCCGCTCTTATAGCATTCAGGGATCCAAATTGGCATTCCTGACAATTTTTACAATGAACCAGCTATGTTTTGAGCCAATCAATTTTGGGTGAGGCTCCTCTGGAGTGATGCCAAAAGGAGGTATAGGGAGCCCTGTGCATTCAATTCTCGCCAGTAACGCTTCGATGTTGTCCTTTGCTTGTTTGCTTTTGAGGTTTAACTGAATCTGGGCAAATGTTATCGAGATGGGGTTTTGGCTTGCAACCGAAAGCGGCCCATTGAACAGTGCGGGTTTCTTTCTTCTTCGGCTTCGTGAATATGAGCCACCCAGAACAGTGTAAATTGGACAATCACACCTCTCCACTAACTAGCAGACAGTGTTAGTTTGTTCAGGGTATCAGAGACCACAGTTTCTGGTGATGATCAGCTTGGCAAGCAATCTAGACGTCTTATGGTAATATGCCCACCATGGAATCGCATTTAGACCCTGTCTCACATGACAGGATGCCTGTTCTCCTGGATTCAGGGGTCGGACGTGTTTGTTTTGGACTATGCAACATAGGACTCCCATGCAAAATTCCATGCTGGCGTATGCCGGCTCCGGCTCGGACTAAATAATTTGCTAGTGTTGATTGTAGAGATTGAGTACTGTTCGAGTAGAATACCAGGCCTTGGTATTTTCCCTTGTGAGCACTTTCTAAGGGCCAACTTACACCAAATGGACATACCCCAAAATTAGTGTCTCTACACTGGTTATACAGGGTTACCCCAAAACCATCCCTATAGGCCTAAAGGTGTGGTTGGCCCCTAGACAATTCCAGGCTTGGTGCGCGAGGCAGGGTCCGTGAGAAATGGCTCACCCCTTTCAAAGAAACCATCCCTTGCTGGTGGTTTCCTTGATGCGGGACCAGCTTCTTGGACAAAAGCCTGGGTTCATTCCGTTTGGGCATGGCCCCAACATGAAAGAGCTAGGGTTACGCTCGTTCCAGTCTTTGGTTCCATGTACCAAGGGGCCATTTTGGATCAGGGACTATGTTGGATCAGTCTTTGGTTCCATCTTTGGTTCCATTTGCTTGTCCAGGCCCCCCAGTAGTGCCCTTTCTCAACCCTTTGGGGGAGAGTTCCCCTACTGAAATAGACTACAGAAAAAGGGTACCCTTATTCTAACCTCTCCCCAGCAACGCTGGCAGGGACCCACTCAAAGTTGTGTTTTTGATACCAGATGCCAAGGGGAGCCCGCTTGTCAGGCACAAAGTAGTCATAGTCACAGCCCACTTCTCAGGGACCCCCCCCCCCATTTCGCAGCGAGGATCTCATGAAACCACTAAAGCTTAAAAGCTGTTGGGGCTTGAGATTTCGCAAGCGAGCTAGTGTCGCCAGCGGATTCGACCGCTCAAGCAATGGGAGTTCTTTGATGCTGGCAAATGGTCTCCTGTCCCTGGGTGCGCAGCGAGTCAAATGATCTCAGGCCTTGACCTGGCACAAGACCCACGGCCAGCTGCTGCAGCGCTGGTTCGGCGCGGAGCAGCAGCGCTTCGTGGACCTGCAGGCGGGGCGGCGGAGGCTCCAACCATCCAGGGTGAGCAAAGCACGAAGTCAACAGATAGAGAAATGGATATATGTATACATACTTACGTATACACATGCATCATGTATATAATTATATATATATACATACATATGTCAATGTATATGTATATATATATATATATATGTGTGTATCTATATATGTGTACATGGGTGAGGTCTTTTTGAAGAAACTGCTTGGGTGCGCCGCCGGCCCCCTCATTTTAGACACACACACAATATGTATATATATATATATACACAATGCAGTGTCCGGCACTCAGGGCCACTTCTGGATGGTGTTGAATGGAAAGCCAACGATATGTCGTGTTTTTGTTTTGGGGGGCGTTTGCTTTTAGGATAAACCCCGATGTATAATATATTTATATACATCTACGTATGTAGAATTATATGGTGTATATATGTATGTGAATGGCTTTGGGTTGCAGTTTTTGTGACCAAGCAATATCATTTTCAATCAGTTGTTGGGGGCACAACAGAATCGTGGGCAACAAAAGGCACTGGCTCATGGGTTATCCCATGTTTCGGCGTTCCTCGCACTCCAGGCAAAGATGGAAGAGCGCCGCAAGGCGGGTCAGCCAGAGCTCCGTGATTTGATCTCCGTTTCGAGTGACGTCGAGCTCCATGACTGAGGGAGTCCTCAGTCCATGAAGCATTCTGTGGGGCTTCCCTCAAATAAGGCGACCCCTTCCAGTTGCAAGTTCAAGGGGCATGGTGGCCATCACACGGGTGGCAACTGGTCTTCACACACACATATGTGTGTTTTGGTTTGTCGATTTATTCATTTACTTGAAAAACAAAGCATGCAGACTATCCTCATAGCATGTCAAGACTGGCCATTGTCAAAATGAGTGCTGTCCCAAGTGGTTGGTTCCCGTTGCATTCCTTTTGAAACTGGCCAAAAAGGTCCCCAGCTTTTACACTGAGTGCTGACTAAACCACAAGTATCATTTTGTCCAAAAGGACACAAAGAGGGGGTGGTTCAGCACCCAACAAATCCTTTTAGTACTGTGAAATGTGGATAGGTCGCATGGTCCAAATGAGGAGTTGCAACTTTTTGGAGGGTACTCTTTCCGGCCTTTCCCCTCCCTTTTCATTGAGGGAGCAGTTCTTTGGCTGTGAATGTCAACTCCACAGGTCGACTTGCGTACCTTTTGGCTAGAGAGACTATGAGGGAACACCACGTGGGTGTGTCTTGTTTTGCGGGTGCCCTTTTTGGGATGAGTTTAAAGGGAAACCAATCGAAGCCACCCACTTTGATGGTTTCCCTATTCTACACACGCGTATGCACGCACACCCAGGTCCCCCAGGTGTGCCACTTGCTCAAAACCCGGGGATTGATGAAGGTCAGTAAGGGGCAGTCCCAGCCAAAAGTCGTTGCGGCCGCCTTTCTACTTGATCACATGGTTCTCGGTTCACCATGTTTGTACCGGACACCAGCATCGTGTTCACAACTCTGCAACGGTTCCTCTCGTCGGTCTCTTTCGCCGCCAGATCCGTAACGAGACCTTTGTGGCGTACCGGCGGAAGCTCCTTGGACGATGAACACCACTCCCAATATTGACATGCTCAAAGAAGTTGATGCTTTCAAACAACGCAAGTAGATGGAACACTTCCCCACATGATCTAGTCATTCCTTTGGCCTACCCACCAGGGAATCGCGGCAACTTTCACACTACCCAGAAACAAGCATGGAAGTGCACTGTCTCCATGCTTAATTCGACTCCGAATCCCTGCTGGTCGATTCGGCGAAAGGAGAGTTGTACTTCCGTCTACAACCTAGCAGACATCCAACTTACCTGCTATGGCTTGCAACTAGAAGCAAAGAGACTACAAGAAGTCGATTGTGTTTTGGCCAGTTTTGTTGAACTCTGGAATTTCCTGGTTGCAGCCTGTTTCTGAAGTGCCATCGGATTCGTCCAAAAGGATACTAAATCGAAGCTCAAAAAGGGGGTGCCCTAAAGGACGTTTTTTGTTTGTTTGTTCCATGAGCATTAGCAGCGGAGCGCCTAGGGCCTTAGGGAATCAGTCTTTGAAGACTAAAAGGATCATGGCTAGTGACCTTTTTTTTGGGGTTGACTGGGAGCCACTTGGCGAGGTATTGTGTCCTTTCTTGAGGCTACCTGGACACCTTCCCCGCCCCCAATTCAAAAGCCTTTGAGGGACCCCACTTTTGGTCACAGGCTGTTCAAGAACCTGGAGGCGAAAGCTGCGTCACACGTGGTTTTCCCCAGGCCTTTCTGCAATTTGTCATCTTTGGCCCATGCTTGGCAGCGAACGGGAGAATTAGGACAGCGTTGGTTTTATGCATAAATGGTCAAACACCAAATGTTTTTTTGCATAGTTGCAGCTCAATTCCTCCAAAATCTGAATCAACAAACTGCAGCCTACGCACGGCAGAAACCATTCTGAATCTGAAGCTGATGCCTCCAAACGAACCTGTGCGTAGAGGAAACATACTAGAGTGAAGCTGAGTTGGTATATTATGACCTTGCAACGATTGCCACCATCTGTCCATACATTGAGTCCCCACTGTGAAGCAAGCGGGTCGTTTGCGTGCTCCCCTCGTCACACAGACTCTTCTAGCAAATGCATGTTTGCTGGGATGGATATGGTGGCTCTCCAGACACTTTTTGCCAGCATCAGCAACCAACATTGGCCACGCATCAGCCTGTGTGCGCTGACATGTGTTCGTGTGCGTGCAAGCCCCAACCCCTTCACCCCCTGCTCACAACTGCAACTCAACAAATCATAGCCTGAAACAGCAAACAGCAAGACAAACACCAAAAGTATCGGGTTTTTTTTACCAGCCTGGACCCCACCCCGAATTTCCGCGGACCATCTTATCACGGCGTGGCGCTGAACTCGGTGGGCAGCTCAGGAAGAAGGAGGTGGAGGAGTGGTCCATCCCTCCTGGGCCGCCTGAGACCCTGAGACCCTGAGACCCTGAGACCTGCTTGGCGAGTGTCATTGGGCATTTGGTTGGGGTTGATCAAACGCTCCCATGTCACATAAAGCGCCCCAATTCGGGAAACCGCAGAAAACAAGACCCGCCCCCAGAAACGGAGAGAGAGTTGATGTTCATGCTGGGGGCGGAAACGGAATATGGATCCACCCCAAAAATTTCGGTCGCCCCAAAGTTCGATGGTTTGAAAGGGAAACCAAAAGGCCGAGGCCTATGAACAGCTCCCATGTTGATTTGTGTTTTAGATAGCTTATATGTTTTTTTCTTTTTCGGATAGCTTAGATGGTCCATGTTGATCTGGTTCCCAGGCACCCACTTTTGGACTTAGAGGTCGGAGTGGGAGAATTTGTTTCACAAGTTCAACGTTTGGCACTGCATCAATGGGCAGCTGGCCTTGCTCAAACATTGTTTATAAGCATGCCTTGCGTCCCTTTTGCGTGCAGGGTGCAAAGAAAACTGCCTCCAAGTCCGTGGCGAATTGGTTTCACGTTTCACGTCCTCTTTTTCCTTGTTTGGGGGGTTGGCGATGCTGGGAAAACGTGTGTGAGCGGTGCAAGTTGGAGGGAATGGCTCCCTTGCCAAGAAACAACTGTAGCCTTCATAGGGGTGTTCGCACTTCCCAGGTCTGGCTGATTCGTATCCCTGAGGTCGGTTGAGGAGAAGTGTGAGATGGAGGATGAGGAGACTGCAACGCTGTTCCTTTTGAAAGGAACCGTCACTTACTCTCTGAGTTCTCTGACTTCATCTCGGGAAGACAGGGGCAAAGCAACAAGCTTGGATCCACTCAGGAAGTGAGGTCAAAGACCTTGGTGTCGTGGCGGCGTAAGGGCTCACAGGAACCAGAGCCTTATGAAGTCGCTGGGGTATGGATTTTCGTGGTAAAGCCCTCAGCCCTAAAAGTGCAGCCTCAGAGGTATGTTAGCCCTGGCAGGATCGTCACCGGTGGCAAACATAGTTTTGGACTTTTGGAAGATCCACTCAGGAAGTGAGTCTTGGGTAACGGGCAAATAGTAAGGCCCTTTATGGGTGGGAGAGGCCTCAGAGGGGCGCCCCTGAAAAGAGAAATTGAACAGTGACCTTGGGTGTTTTTTTTCTGCAGGACTTTCAGGTGGTCCCATATTTTTGTCGAAAGAGGGCCACGTGTAGGGCCAAAACATGCGAACAGGAAGCTGAGCAGCTTCATTTCCTGATGGAGCCGATCCTGAAGGAACTCAAGGAGTGCAAGAGGCGGTGTTGGTATTGCCCAGTGTGCCCGGAGCCCCCCAAACAAAAAAAGGGAAAACACTGTGGATGGTTGCGAAATCCATTTCGCACCACCGTTCAGAAACCCGGAATGATACGATTCCCCTGTAACTGCCAACCAGCAATGGTTTCCCATGGTGTCAGGTGCAGGTGTTTGTCCATCCACAGTAGGTGGCGTGGGTTTTGTCCGTCTGGGGACCTTGCGTCTGCTTCCGTGGCTTCCAGTTCTTCCAAGCTTGGGATTCGCGGAAGCGTCCAGCTGGGGTTCCAATGAGGACCCTAAAGTTGACAGCGGGGGTTTTCTGAGGTTGGTGACATTGGCGCAGATATCCTTGCAGCAATCGGACAGGCGGAACTTGGCAGACCTTCCGTGATTCCCAAGGGTCTTTGGCAAATTGGCGTATTTTTGTTCTTTTGCTCTCCCGCTGGACTGGGCAGTCCTGATTCCATCGCTCAAGGTTTTGAACCAGTTTTGGTACCCAGGTGTTCATTTTAGTTAACCTCACAGGGGTTTCACTGGGCCTCGATTTTACTCGCTTCCGAGTTTCTTTCCTATGCCTTGCCGCCTTGCCTCAACGGAGCGCGGCTGCAATGTTTCCGCGAAACTTCCCAGTCAGGCAGGCCCTTCGTGAGGATTTCCAGGGAGCCAACAGGAAGCCTCTTTGTTTTTCGTTCTTCTTCTTTGTTGGGGGGGAGGGCGGACGTAACTTTCTGGTTAGGTAGGGAGTGAGTCGGAATGACCCCGAACAACCACGTTAACAAACAAACCCAGAATGGGGAATCAACCCGTAGACCTGTTCTGCGGTTGGTTTAGGGAAATGGCCAGAATTGTTGCCTCAGTGAGCCCAGTTGCGCTTGGGTGGTTCCTTTCCAGGCGTCTGCGGGAGCTGCGCCAGAAGCGTCCGGGCCTTGTTTGGACGTAATCATGCCTGTCTTTCCCGAGAGGTGGCAACCAGGTGGATCCCTGTCACTACAGCGAGTCACTCCAGCGGCCATTTTTTGGATCCCTGTCACTACAGCGAGTCACTCCAGCGGCCATTTTTTTTGTTTTTGAGCGTCTCGTGTTTGTTGCTTGTGTTTGCTTACCGGACAGGAAACTGGCGTGGTGCTTCTTGAGGGTACCCTTTTCACGTTGATGTGTTGCTTGACCTCTTGCTGTTCAACAATCAAAACCTTGGCACAGAAAAGCTGAACAGTCCCAACCAGGAACGGGTGTTGAAACCCCCCCTCTTGATTCATGCCGGTAAACTCCTGGCAGTGAGAACGCTTCATTTGCACGAAGTAGGTTTTTCGCGCCTGTCTTGGAAGCCGGATGGCTGGCTCAACGAGCGTCTGGAACGTTTTGGCGCCCTGGTCAGGGTTCATAAATTCCTCCGAACAGAACACGGTCCACAATTCTGCGCCTTGAATCACACCAGGTTTAAATTGTGCCCGCGAACAGACATAGAAAAGGTAGTCTGCATCTTTGGAAGGATCCACTATACGTTTGGTTTACGTGGGCAGAAGGAAACGTTCGTCTTACTTTCAACCAAGCAGGCCCACCTGAATTGGCCTTTTGGTTTTCCCATAGGTTCCGTCTTTAGACAAGGTTCCGAAAGGTTGACCTGGGGATATAGGTTTTGGGCAATGAAGGTCCTTTCGGATTCAAGCTGGCAACAGTCAACCAAATCCTACATTGGCAGGGTATTGACCTAGCTCTCTGTTTCTTCGTTGACTTCATTGTGTACGGCAAGCGTGTTGCTTCTGCAGGGTTCCTTAATAGATACGTTTTGCCCATTTGAAACATGGCCTTTTCCACCAAAATAAAGGGAAACCACCATTCTGTTCTGTTTGTTGTGTGAGTTTATTTGTTTGGCTCGCTTCCAATTTTGCGCCTGGGTGAAAGACGAACAAAGTTGTTTTTGCGAGTCAAAGGAGCAGGGCTTGGAATATTTTGACGGGGAGGCGTGTTCAGGCACTCACGGTCCCACTGGTTCGCTCGCTGCGTGTGTTTTACGACCAGTATTATTTGTTTCATGGCGTTTCAATAAGCCATTGTGTGCGTGTGTGTTTGTCATTAAATGGCTGAAGTTGGAGCCCTTCCAGCTAGTGTTTCGTGCCAGAGGGTTTTTTTGGTAGCCCAAAGGGAAGCGGAGCAGGCGTATCTAGCTCGTAGAGGGTCGACCCTCGGGTTTCGAGTGGATCAAGCCATGGAGTAGCACACTGAATGGTGGGGCTGCGAGCTTCAAGCCGCCCCTTCGCTAGATTGAGTTCTGCTGCGGAACCTGCAAATGGATGGTTTCTCTCTTTGGCTTCCTGCCTAAAGCAAAGAAACAGTACTGACTCCCCAAAGACAAGGCACCCAAAGACAAGGCACCCAACAGTGCGCAACCTTTGCTGAAAAAGGGGAGGTGGTGCCGGGTGTGCCGGGCGCCCCACCAATTCACAAATTTTAAGGGCACCCGGATCTCTTGTAGATTTTCTTCTTCTAGTCTTGCACCCGGATATTGCTTGGGCGCTCCCGTTCAATTCACCAACTTCAAGTTGATCTTGTCAATTTTTCCAGCTCAAAAATAAAGAGCACCAACCCCGGCCCCATTCTTTTCGATTCCCAATCTGGCTGTGGGTCAAAAATGGGTACCTAAAATGGCACCCTGGTAAATGGAAACAATGACTAAAATATGTTTTTTTTTGCGGTTTGTTTTCTGAGAACTTGGTATAGGTTTGGCCCCAGCCCCCTCCGCCCAGGCTTCGAGGCAGCGGCGGAGCGCACCCGCAAGGGCGGCGACGGCTTCGCGGCGGCGCCGCTGCCCGCGGGCTTCGAGGCGAGCCTTGAGGAGCCGCAGGCGCGGTATCGTTTTTTCCCCTTTTTGTTTTTCTGTTTTTTTTCCCTGGCGCTTTCGTTTTGACCCATACCCACTCGGAAACGGATCTTTGGACTTTAAAACTTTTTGGCGTTGGGCCTACAAAAAGGCAGAACTTTGTGCAGAGTCCTCAACAGCAACCAAGAAAGGGTGCTCGTTTGTTTGTTTGCGACCCGCTTGGTAAGTGGTTTGCGCTGGTTATCGACGGAGCGCTGAGTGGTTGCTAGCCATCCAAGGCCATGCCTGAGCCAAGCGATGTGAAGTCCAAATGTCGGTTGCGGCTTAGGAAGGCATCAGCTCACTTCCAGATTCCCAGCCATGCTCTTCGGGTTCCTTGGGGTTGGCGAGGGAGACCAAGCGGTTCATTTTCGCGGCGCGCCCATTTTTTTCTGTTGTGCATGTGTGTGTGTGTGTGCGTTTGCTGGGTACCCCTCTCAGATGAAGTTAGCGAAGCAATAGGACAACCAATTTGGGGGTCCTTATTTTGACACGCCGCTTATAGACAACCCATTTCGAGGAATGCATGGACCCATCAGGATGTCACTCCCTGGTATGTTTTGAGGGTACCCTTTGATGTTTGGATGTGTTTATGGAAAATCAAAATGAACGCCTACCTTTCCTGGTGCCCCCGAAAAACACGCACACACAGATATATATATATATATATATTGCCATGTGCCTGGCCCAGTTTTTCGCCAGGAAGTGGTCCGAACGGACGAACCAGAAGCCAAGGAAAAAAGGCCCTGGGAGGAGCTCGATGGGGTTAACATGTTGTTTAGGGTATGGTTGGTTTGAAGAAGAAACTTTTTTTGGGACGGTTGGTTTGAAAGGAAAAGGACAACCACTTTTTATTGGTGTGTGTGTGTGTGTTTGTTTTCTGAGGGTATGGTTGGTTTGATCAGATTGAGGGTTGCAAATGCCACATCTGGGCGCACAACAAAAGCGTATCACATGCACGCTTGAGCGCCCGGAACAGTCACATGAGCCGCATCTAACATTCATGGCTTTGATTGGAGACCCCAATTACCCCCTCACGTCGAACGGGCCGAAGGCTGGGCGCTCGCCCAAAACGAATTGAATTGACATATGTTTTCCTTCGCCAGTGTGGTCCAGTTGTAGTCATGTCTCAAATGATAACCCGTTGTTTCCTTCTTGTTGGGCAGTGTCAGTTGCTTTTTTTTTTGAATTTATTTTTTCGGAGAATGTCTCAAAATGGGTCGGAAGAACCTTCTCCAAATGTCACACCCCTTCATGAATCCAACCGTGGGTTTCAAAGGAGCACTCTGAAAGGTGAAAGGTGGTTGAAAAGGAACTGCCACAAGTAGTTTGGACCACTCAGATCGATACAAGTTACCCGCCTAAAGAACGAGATAATTCATCATTTGAAAGGCCTTCCATATCACAGCGGGATTGTACTTCCCACAACCCTGGCCCCCAGGAGGTTCATTTTAAAGGACCGAGTAGAGGGGACTGCTGACGACACAGCCGCTGCTCGCCTGCTGAGTCTTGGCACTTGAATTGAGTGCAAAACCCCTATTTGTAGTTTTGGTGGGCTGCACTGGAGGTTGTAGCGAGGGGTGTCGGCGTATTGTTTGTTCCACGGTGCCCGTTTCAGCTCGGTTGAAAGGGAAACCACGTTTGTAGAAGCAAAACAAAAGTCAATGGGTGAGTCGCTGCTTAATTGGAGGTTGGGAGCATGGAGCAGCATGACCTGAGGAGACAAAGCAGGCCGCAGACAAAGCCTTCAAAGACAAGGCTGGAAGCTTTTGCGAGCTCCTTGTGTGTGTGTGTGTGTGTGTGTTTTTGGTTGAAGTACCATTTTCTGTTTGGTTTAAAGGAAAACTGGAAAGAACACCATTTCGGCAGTCCAAATTCCTATTTTGACATAGTCACTTTGGTTTTTTTGGGTGGTTTCCAGCATCACGGTGGCAAAGTTGACTTGCGTTCTCAATGTTGAAGAGAACATAGACTCAGGCAACCCTTAACGGGTGGTTTGGATTGGTGGCTGGGGGATTTGAACCCGGAGGTCTTGCAGAGGTTTGAGGGGAACCACTCTGATTCACCTCCAAAGCACCGATCCAAAGCAACAATTAGAGGGAAGCTGATTTGGGTGTGTCTCTTTTAGAGCACACCCCTCCCCCCCCCCCCGCCGGCCAAAAAGAAAGTTGTCCTTTTGGGTTCCCCCAAAAAACCAAGAGACCACCCTCCCCCACATCACAAGTCCGGTTTGTGAAACCAATGCGATTCCATGCTGCTTTGAGACATGCATCCCAAGGTAGGCACGCTGGCCTATCAGGGATCCTCTTCTGGGCCCTGGGATGAAGTGGGTCAGGGGTTGAGTTACATTGTGAGCAACACTGGCATGCTTGTTGTTGGGAAACATTTTACATTTTTGCTTATTGTGGTTTAGTGGTTGAAATCCAACCACTTAATTGCTAACACTCAAGTTTTTGCTCGCCTTCCAACGTCAGCCAAGCTAGAGGTGTTCTGGAATTAACTGTGGGGGTTCTCGCCACTTATCGCTCCAATCTCTTTGATGTGGCATGTTGCTCCTTTGAAAGCAGACCTTGAGAGAACCCAGCCCAAAACATGTGTCGGCCATTTTGGTAGGTGTCTACTACCTGGTTGCATAAAAGTTATAGGTATATACGGTATATAAGCTTTATAACAATTTTGACAGAACTATGCACTTCAATGGATATGGAGATTTGCTTTATAACAATTTTGACAGAACTATGCACGTCAATGGATATGGAGATTTGCTTTATAACAATGTTGACAGAACTATGCACTTCAATGGATATGGAGATTTGGTTTATAACAGTTTTGACAGAACTATGCACGTCAATGCATATGGAGAATTGGTCAAGTTAGTCTTGGGTGGGGCAGCGGCCACACGTCAACGTCTCCGTTTGTGCAATGGCCGCGAAACCTTTTCCAGGCCTTTTGGCACTAAACGCTACTCCAGCGGGTCCGTCCCAGGGTTGAGTCTTGCCAGTTGGATTACAACTTAGCCCTTTGGGTCCCACCAACAAGCCAACCTGGCCATACCAGGGTTGTTGACAGCATCAGAATTGTGTTCTCGAAACAAATAAATAACAAAAAAATCCGCCGCACAGGAATGGAACACGGCCCTCTCGCTCTACAGTAAGGCCTGCATTTGACATGAAGCTGGCTGCATCAATTCTGCTGGTCTCCATATGCGGAAGGTCCAAAAAGCAGGGGCTTCGGTTACCCTTGCCTTCCCAAAATAACACAGTGGTCTTCTTGCGTATGACATGCTCATCGGTTGTTGAGGATCCCGGTACGTTTGAAACACCGCCAAAACGGGCACTCCCCAAAAGAGGCGTCGATGTATGTCCCCTTTCGGGGTGCTCATCACCTCACTGGCCCAAGGCACGACCTGAACTGACCGTTTGGCTTTCTATGTTTGGCCAATGCGATTGTTCAGCCATTTTCAGGTTGGTCATTGTTGAAACTGGTTTGAATCCACACTTTTCATGTGTATTTTCTATTTTTTCTGGCTTGTTTCGACCATTTTCAACCACTTGGCCTTTTTTTGTTTGTGCAGTTGGGCTGTTTGCAGAGCCGCCGAAGCTGTGGGTGGCCCATTTGGATAATTCGGTTCAAGCCCAAAATGGAGTTTTTGTTTTGAAACACGCCCTTATTCTGAGTCGCCAGCCGCACCAATGCAGCGAGGTGGTTCAAAAAAAGACGTCTTGGTTCGGGGCTTACAGGGTCTGCGTCAAGTGTGTCAAATATGCTGATAAGTCGTATTCATCAGCATTAGGTTATGCATGTGTTGAGCACTAGGCATTGCGAAGATCAGAAATACAACTTGACTTGGCCAGTATCAAAACAAGCATTGTACCGCTGAACCACGCACTCGTAACACTCACAGGGATCCCCTTGTCGCCGCTTTCGGTGGCGTTGTGTGTTTCTTGTTTGTGTGGGCAAATGAATAGCGCTCGTTTGAGTCTGGTCTATCACCAACCACTTCGTGCTATTTCGGTGGTGTCGATGTAGAGACAAACCCCATGTTTTGACAGATCTATGTCGAGCGGTGGCCAGGGCTATAGCGTCACTCAGGTGATTCCCCAAAGAGAAAGTGGCACCATGTCCACAAGCACGGGGCAAATTGTATTCACTGTTCTTGGCATGTTTTTTGGTGTTTTAGTTTTTCGGTTCTGTGCATTTTTTACTGGGGGTCTGCAAAACACAAAGTTGTTCGCTACCATACCAAGAGTAGAGATGATTTGAGCGGAAGCCATTGATTGTGGGCGTCAAATCGTTCGCAAAGCTCGGGCTTGGAAGCCAAAGGCAACCGCCCAATTGAGGAAGTTCCCCTAGACACGCCGTGAACCCATTCATAGCAGCTGCCTCTATATGGGTGTGGGTCAACACCAATGGTACCATTTTGGGGTAGGTGCACCACCCATTTTAGTCTATTTTAGTGGGGATTGGGATGTTCACTGGGGGTACCGGGTTTTGACCCACAGCCATATTATAGTGGCGAAGTGTGTTCCACAATTTCACCATACCTTGCAGCTGCTTCGCCAAGAACCTGGGGTGTATACCAAAAGGACATTACCGACTTTAAACCCCGCACCTGGCAGCCCTTCTGTTCTAAGTCAGGTGGTTGGGCATGACTTTAACCCACTTGCCATGGCTGAATGTCTGTTTGGGTCACAACCATACTAACCCACTAACCTGACGTGCCCTAGCATTAGGCATCCCCTGGTTTCTTCCGTTAATGTGCAGCCACTGGCGCCCAAACGAGGTCAAGTAGCACCCTCCAACCCCCCGGCAACGAAAACAACCTCCCCCCGTCCCGTCCCCCCCCCAATAAAAAGAAATAGAAAGAACAAAGAAGAACATCAACTGCCCACTTCCCCCCACTTCCGCCCAAGAACAAGAACAACAAACACCAATCCTCCCAACCTTTCATGGTTTTTCGGGTTGCTTGGCATCCGTTGTTCCGTTTTTTCGTCCGGTCCGCGAGGCCCTCGAGTCAGACTTGGACTCCCTGAGCCGCGCCACGCTGCGCTCCAACCGGGCCCTGTGCTATGCCCGGCTCTTCGAGTGGACCAAGAGCCTGGAAGACGCCGTGGCCTCTCGGCCGGAGCGGGGAAGTCACTGGTCTGATCAAAACCCGGTGTTGAAATGGTCGTAACCCCAGAGCCATGCTTCAAGAACTAAGACATTAAGAAGGCCGCAGCTATGAATGGCAAGGGGATTGTCCCTTACTAACCGGATCATCTACCCGGGTTTTGATTGTGGCTCATAGTGTCTCACTGATTGTTTCAGAATATGTCCAGCGTACATCTACTATATTTGGGACATTGTCCGAAGCTGCAGTATGTGTCTACCGCATTCCTGTAATGAGTCCGGCATGTTTGCTGTATGGCGTTCCTATTTGGTGTCCAGTCTGCGGGTTGCATATGTTCCACACACACACACACACGTTGCATAATCCCATCATGTGTCCCACAATGCATAAATGTGTCCAGCTTGGCTTGATTGTATTTCAAGCGTGGTTTTCACACATGGCTAGCATACATCACGCCTGGTTCTAGATTTGACCAGCTTCTGGTGAGTTTCTCATATGTAACAGTTTTCAAACTACACATATCCAAGATCCCAGCAAATGTTTTTGCCACTATTTCAATAATTTGCAAAACACTACTTATACATGGAAGAAGCACGTACTCACGGTGCCCTCTAGGAAACGGGGGTTGCTCACCAACTCCCCCAAAAGGTATACCATCACCGCAACAAAAACAACCGCCACCCCTTTCCGTTTCACTGGTATTTGCAGTGTATGTTGCTATTTGTCCATTGATTTGTGGGTTTCAATATTCAGGCGATTTTCGGCCTACAAGCGCCCTGCCTTTCCCTTCCCAACTGCAAGTGAAGGCACCTGCAAAAGTGGGGCAATCACACTGCTTCTAGTGTGTGACTACAGGGAACGGAGCAGTGTCTTGGAGCATCGAATGGCCCGAAGAAGTTTGTACATAGAGATCTGCCACGAGAATGGCTGAAGAGGGAACACAAAAAACGCAATGCCCCAGACAAAGGTATTGGGCATGCCCAAAACGCTTTCCACAATCACAATGTGTTGTGTTTCCTTTTGGTTTTCCGAGGTTTTTTGGTTTTTGCAAATGGGAGGCCTTTGGATTTGCATGCAGAAAAAAGCAAAAACATCTCCCCCAGCACTTGCCTGTTTTAATGTCCTTCAAATATTGATTGGTTGAGCAAATGGGATGCGTTTGGCAGTTCAAATGCGTCATATCTGCCTCATGTCCACTACTAAATCACAGCCGTGGCAAATCCACACAAAGCTGCGCTCTGTACTCCTTTTGGGCAGGGGTATGAACACCGGAAAGCCATTTGGGGTTTTGATCTCCCCCAACGAACCAAGGATGCCACCATCCTCGAAGAGGAGTGGCCAAAGGTGCAACGACACGTCGCATCCGCGTCGTCGAAGGGGTTTGTCGTTGTATTTGAGGGCACATGGCGTCAAAGAGAAACCCAGAGGGAGACCTCATGCATGCTGGGACATGAGGAAGGTCTTAGGCCTTTACAATTGCGTTGGTATGCCGGGCAAAAGGAGTCTACACCGTGTAAGTATCCGCTCGTTTTTCTTCATGTAGAGAAGGAGCAGAGAAGGGGGTTTTGGTGCACCTTCATTCGAAGCTGATGCGATCGCCTGATAGTTGTTATATATGGTTGTTTTGTCTTTTAGTGGACCTGCCCCCCCCCCCCCTCCCCCGCAAACAAAAAAAGAGAAGATAAACAACTAAGATTTCCTTTCGGTTTCCATACCAAACCAAACCCCAGAAAGGGTACCCTGAAAAAAGACCAGCCATCCACTTCCAATGCCAGAAGTGAGAGCCAAATGACGTGGGGCGCCCCATGCCCGATTTTGACCTGTCAGCTTCCTTGACCGCCGATGGATTTAGAGCATGGGTTGTCGCTTTTTAGGTTAGTTTGGCTACAAATCGGTGGGTTCCACTGGTTTAGGTATGATTTAGAGGCCTTGCGGACGGGCTTCAGGATTTAAAACGCCTTTCGAAAGCTTCCCTGGGGCTGTTCCTTCGCTTTGCGGTTGCATGTGGCTTTGGACTGCATTTCGGTAATTGCAGTCTGCGAAATTGTCCTCTTTGGCCCATTTGCGAATTGAGGTGGTTAGACCTGTGTTTGGCGGTTGCTGCTTGTTTCGTGCAGTGTACATGCTCAGTTGTGTGGTTGCGCGCCCGGTATCAAATGGATTTGTGATGGGTATGGATTTAAGAGAAACCAAGAGGACAACCACAAGGCCGCTTGGTGGGGCCCGGACTTTTGGACACATGCTCATGTGGGTAAGCAATTCAGTAAAGGTGATGACCAAACCCAAACGTGGCAATTGTGCCATCTGCTTTCCCTCAGCTTTAGCCAAGAAACCTTGGATGGCTGATTTAGATGGAATTTCAACGAGCCAAGAATTTGCCAAGAAAAGAAACCACCCAGGACACGGCTAGGTCCTTTTTTAGGAGCCCCCCTCGCCCAGTCCCCCCCCCCCCCCCGCCCCCCCACAGAAAAACCGGTTGTGGTTGTTTCGGATTTTCCTTTAAAACCGCCAAAAACCAGGTAATTAACCTAACAAAAACACCCAGAACCTTGAAGAAATCAACGCCCGCACTTCGGGGCCTTGCGCAGGGCTGGTTGCGCCGCGCCACCGCTGAGCTGCGCCTCACCAAGACCCGGCAGGCGCGAAAGCCGAAAGCGCTTCGAGTTGGTTGCGCTGAAGGCCAAGTGGAATCCAAGGGAAGACGGCGGATGCCAACGCAACGTTGCAAGGGAAATCTTTCAACCATGGGTTTGTGGGTGTGGTTGGTTTACTTGCAATTTGCTTGGTCATCCACCGTGCAGGGGAAACCAGGGAGCTTCTCGGGATCGCTGTGGGACACGAAGGGTGGACGAGCTCTATATTCTCCACAACACCCGGGGAGAAGCCCAAATTGTCCAATGTCCCCGGGGAAAACAACATGTGTAATTTTGACCATGCCTACTTTACTGTGGGACAGGCGTGGTTGGTTTACTGTACTTGCAATATTTCGGTCATCCACCGCATCAGGGGCAAAAACAAGTAAACACTGATAGTTTACCCCCCAATAGTCGTTACTGAAATTAGTTTGTTATTGCTCCCAGAACCTCGTTCTAAGTCATTTGGGCCCTAGCAATTTGCAGGAGCTTGCCCTAGTCAATTCTATGAACCTACCTACAGATCATATTGGCCACAACATGGCAAAATAGAAGTAATGCAAGTCTAGATGCTTACTGATTTATTGTTTGCCTTTATTTCTCTTGTTTATATTCCGATCACAGTTATTTTGTGTATATGTAAAGCTCTTGCCGTGTAAGCATGATTTATAAGATAGAAATTGCTTGTCTTTTCTATTTATGTTATCTTGTGTTGCTCGTCTTTTCTCTTTTTCTATGCCCTGATACCTTTCCACATCCCCAACTGTACCCAACACAATAATAATTAGGTCCTAAGGATTCGGAAAGTTGGGATAGGAAAGGATAATATGTCCTTCGAAGCATGTCTATCTTCTAATGATTTATCATTTCTACTTGTCTATTTATTTTTGTCATATTGATTGTAGTTTGTATCTCTTTGCATATCCTTGAACTGCCTTCAGTAGATTCTAGTTTGCTTTCTATTGAGCTGCGTGAACTGTGCAGAATCTTTGATCAGGTGATGGCAGATAACTTTCAATTGCATGGTTCGTCTTGCTCTGCTTGCTTTGTCCTTAGAGGATCCACATCCATAATTGGGTGCTTCCTAAGAAGGGTAGATAATAGTGAGAGTTGGGTAGTTGGATCAAGCAGACCCCCAGCTCGACTGCCCAATCGCCGTTTGGCCAATGACAGGGTGAAGCATGACCTCCAGACCATTCAAGCAATCCTTTGTCTGGGTGGAGGGGGAAGGGAGTTGTCCGTCAAAATCCACTGAACAACAAATTTGCGCTGAAACAAAGCTTTCTGGGGATGACCCAAAGTAACATGAGTCCAACAGCAGGCTCACACAAGCGGTTTTTGCCTTGTTACGAGTTGTCTGTTTTTGTTTTTGGTTGCATGTCAACCCGAGGGAGTAGAGAACTCGTCTTTTTGCAATGTCACCCTTTGGGCTTCTTTTCGCTTCCATAGCATGGTTGTTGTTGGGAAACATTTTCCCCATTTTTGCTTATCGCGGTTGAGTGGTTGAAATCCAACCACTTAGCTGCTAAAATATGAGAATTGTTGCTCCCCAAATCCAACGTCAACCAAGCTGTGGGCTGAATATTGTTCGATCTTTTCCAGGGGACTTCTCGCTCAGGCCCTGGCCTCGTTGAAGCGGGGCTTCAGTTGTGCTGGGAAGACGGTGGGGGGCGCCAGGTGTTGTGAGTGTACCCTTGTCTCTTTTTTTCTTTCTCCGGTTGGTTGAAAGGAAGGTCTAGGGCCTGGATACTAAATACAACTTGAACAATGAGGGTAGCTTCTTTAGCCCCGCACAATCCTTGGGTTCTCCGCTTTTGGTTGCAAGCATAGAGAAAACGCCTCAGACCCAATCAGTTCTTTCTCTGCAAGATCAACTTGACAAGGTGCTTTTGCGTATGCAACTCAACTTGAAAAGATGGCGGAGAACATGGAGCTTATGCCGAAGCCTGGAGGGTCCCAACGCCCTGTTTGATTGATCATGACCGAGTGTGTTTGTTGTCGGTGGGGAAAAGGACCCCGCAAGCCTTTCGTGTTCCTTCATTTTCCTTTGAACACCCCGAGGCAGGCTACCAACCCTGAAGGAGCCACATCCCTCACCTGACGCGTGGTCATTTCTGGGGCAAACAAGCTTTTGTCCAAGCAGGAACACATGGCTGTGGGTCAAAACCAATGGTACCATTGTAGGGTAGGTGCACCACCCATTTTGGAACCCATTTTAGTGGGGATTGGGATGTTCACTTGGGTGTACGATTTGGGTTTTGACCCATGGCCACATCAGTTGACCCACCTGCGCTGAAGCCCTGCCAGAACTTGTCTGAGGCCGGGCAATTCCTGGCTCTGGCCACCGAGTGCGAGGTGCCCGCGAGGGTCCGCCCCCCGTTGAGTAAGCCCATGTGCCCCAAAACCCTGGAACCTGCCCGATATAGATTCAATAGGGAAAACGCACGTCTCCAACTGGAGAGGGTACTTGTATCAGTGAGGCTCAAGAGCGCTACAGGTACTTCTTTGGTCATTTGGTACTTACAGGGGCAGTTTCCTGCTTAAAACATATTTCTGCAAGAGAAGTACGGACGCCCGTGGACTTGTGCCGTGTTTGAACCCCAATGTCTGGGGGGCCAAACCCAAGATTCATGAACCCGTGATGGGCCCTCAACATTTTGTGGGAACCCGCCCTACCAATTCACACTTATGCAATTTCACGAAGGAGCATGGCCAAAATTCAGCTTGCTTTGGACCTTCAGGTTGGTCCAGGTTGGTTTGGCATCCGGTGGTTTCCTCTCATGGCCAAGCTTCTCATTACCAGCCTTGTGCCAATCGGTCTTAGCCTCTTTTTTTTCCCCATGCTGCCAGAACCATAGTCGCCGGTCAGCAAATTGTACCAAGGGAAATCGGGTCTTCGCCTGGCCTGCCTTGCTAGGCCGCTCTTTACAATGACAAGGAGGACGAGCCAGACGTGCCCGACTCGGCGGCGGGCCGCATCGAAAAGTTCAAAGAGGACCGACTTGGAGAGGAAGTGGGCGTCTAGGAGGGCAGAGCTTCTCTCAACATGTTGGGGGGGGCGGGGTGAGGGGGGAAGCCTTTGGGTTCCCTTTTGAAAACCACACAAACGAATACCTTACAAAGACACGCCTACTGGTGGCGCAGGGCCTCCCCCTTTCGGGTCTTTCTTTGGGGGCCCAGGTCTGGCGGTTTTTCAAGCGACTCGGTCTTGATGGCGCACCTCTGATGTTTTGTGGGTGCCCTTGGCAAAGGGCGTCCCCACGCACCAGCAAGAATTGATCGCCTCAGAGCCACCAGAGGCTCCGTGGATGAAAGTGGTCTTGATGGAATTGCAACTGTGATGACTAGCCAATTGCAGGCCTTTTCTGACGACTTCTCCGGGGGGAGGCAAACGGGGGGTTCTCACGGTGGGAAGAAGGCATCGTCGGGTTCTAATTGGATGGGGTCGCCCTCGACCCTCACGGACCCCTAAGAGGGACCCGGGCTGCCTCGTGTTTAGGAGGCGGGCAATGCCTTCAAGCAGGGCAACTTTGGAGTGCGGAAGCCCAGCACTTCAAACGATTTTCTGTTGAAACGTTGGTTTACCTCCGGGGCTTCTTTGGCCAAAGGTTGGCCTTTTTGGCAAGTGTTTGCAGACTGCAAGTGTTTGCCCGTCGCTGAGGCCTGCTAGAAGCATAGAGAACAAATGAGCCACAATCAAAACCCAGGTAGATGAAGGTTAAGGGGCAGTCCCAGCCAGTTAAATAGTTGCAGATATCCGCCTTCTTAATTCTTGAAGCATGGTTTTCTGGGATTACGACCATTTAATACCAGATCGGTTTTGATGCCGGAACTCAAATCCCCTTCCAAGTCTTGGTCAGTCTCCTTCTTGAAGCTGGAAAGGGGTACTCATGGGAACCACAAGTGGTGCGGGAGTGTTGATGAGCTTGAGTGCTACAGGGTTGGACCATAAAAAAAGTCAACGTTGTGGGAAAAATGATGAATTGTCCTCAAACCTCAACAAGTTCAACTCTCCTGGCAGGGGTAGCCATTAAGGCAAGGCCTCCCCGGAGTTTATACGATTCCCACGGCAGAGGGTTGGGCACAGACGGCTTGCGCACTGTTGCCGGCAATCCCTTTCCCTGTTTTCGAAGGGCTCCTCCCAAACAAACTAAGAAATCCGCCGCTTACAAAAGTTGTTCTCGTTAGGACCCTGTTCCGGACAAAGCTTGGGGGCTCTCAGGGATTCCATTTGTCAATACGGCAAGAATAAGTTGTCGGGGAAGACTATCGCTGGTTGGCTTTAGTTGAAAATTGGCCCATTCCAATGTTAGTATTGGGGGTATCCAATTGTGGTTTGGGATCAACCATCTTCGTCGGGGGTACCTTTACTATCAGGAAGAACGCATAAGGGACAACTTGTCTGGTTTGTTGGTTGTTGTATTGTCGAGGAAGACGCCACTGACAGCCACTGACAATCTTCTGTCATAGTTTCCAAACACACCCCCCCCTGAACCCCCCCCCAAAAAAAATAAGGGCCAATTTGGGCTTAATAGGGCTTAATTTTTCAGGCAACACGCCTGGAAAGATCGGCGCTCGGTAGCCGTGAGTCAGTCGTGATTCTAACAAGGGATCGGCGAGTCGCACGTGCATCGTAGAGACAAGGAGTAAAAATAGAACAACTGCTCTTGTGCCTTCACCTTATTTGCCCCCGCATTCGTGTCCTGAAGGCGTGAATCAGCCCTATACCCCCTCATTGGCCCGGACGCGTCGTAGCTGCATAGTTGTTTTTTGAAGCCTGCAATCAAGGCTATGGCTCTGTCTTGTGAAACGGTATGGTACAATGGGAAATGGTCACTTGTGCAAACTGTCCACGTAGTCTTTGACCTGCTGCCGGCTTGGCCTCAGTTGACCATTGCGGCTTGTTGACCTTCTACGTTCGACTCACCCTTGAGTCTGCAAGCAAATTGGCCCGAAACCAAATAACTTGGGTTGAGGGTTTCCCGCATTGCTCAATAACATCTAGTGCCACGCCAATGTGCGCACCTCTTGGGGTGGTACCTGTTGGGGTGGTTTTGAAAGGAAACCAAACGACCTTTTTCAGAGTACCCCTGTTTTGACACGACCACAAGAGAACTTCAGGCCAGCGGCTGCTCATATGTCTTTGTCGGGTTTTTCCGATTCCACCTTGAGTAGATGAATGTCAAAACCGCCTCCAGCGCATCATACTCATCACCGCAGCTCCGAACTTTACCCCATTGTCGCTGAAAATTCTTCTGTTCCACCGGATTGTCACCTAAGTTGTAGAGTTGCCCATGGCAGCTTGATTCGGAAATAAAACTCGAACAGCAACTAGTCACTAAGTCCATGGCTGGGATATGTTGCTCGATAGCCATAACTGGATGGATCCCGATTGATCCCAACCATAGTCATATCTGGCTTCAGCAGGGCATCCCTCAAACTGGTAGGGGTTTGTGTGGGCCTTCTTGGGGCAACTGCGGGCGCTGATTTGGCAGCTGTGGCTGCTGGCAAGGCTTCAGGCCTAGGCTCCACTGCTGCAGCTACTGCCTCTGCCAAAGCGGGGTTGGTAGCATCTGGTTGTGGCCGGGGATCATTTTGCGGCGGCTTGGATGCTGATGCCGCTTCTTGCTGCTGTGGCTGTTGCCTCTGTTCTTGTTGCCGTTCCTGCTCTTGCTTCTTCTCCTGGTTGATTTTTTCTCGCACTGATTTTTCCGTGGTTGTCCGTTGAACTTCTGACAGTGTGTCTTTCGCAAGCTTGGCCACCTTCTTGAACTCGGGGCATTCACGATTTTCTTCATCCAACTCCTTCACTAGTTCAAGGACCCGAAGGGACTCATCACCTAGCTTTTGTTTTGCGTTGCCCTGCCATGTCATGGCTGCTGCCATCCTTGCCAGTTCTTGAGCTGTCTCACCTGGAAAAAGGAAAGATGCAAGCGCGAGAGCTAGATCCTGCTTTACAACTCCACCGTGCTTCCCGGCGCCCCTGGTTGGCATGTCGACACCCAGTGCGGCGCACAACATCTTGACAATGTCGTTGTGCAAGAACACTCCTGCTTTGACTGCGCCATCCAAGAGTGGCAAGCCCTCTGGGTTGGTGATTTCCCAAGCAAAACTGCAGCCTTCCATGAGAAGCTCAGCCGGGAGAAAAGCCCGAATAACCTTTTGCACGCCAACGTTCTTGTAGTTGGGGTCCCTGGCGTCAAAGCTGAAGAGCCATGTCAATTGTTGGACAGGGAGGGCTGCCACATTCTGGCTGGGAGCAGCCAGGATCAGGAAATCCTGCAAGCCAAGCACGTGGGTTTCTTGTTTGGTTCTGAAAACAAACAGTCAGTAACAGAACTGTTTCCTCCCAAACACGCGGCAACCGCAGTCCTTGTTTCTGAATTGTTTGCGATGCAGTGGAAACCCTGCCGCAGCCCAACGCCGATGACCCAAGCTCAAAAAGAAGCGGTCGCTGGGCACGTGGTAAAAGATGCTGCCGAGCACGAACAGCGAAACTGGGCCAGGGGCGAGAGTTGAACTGATCGAGTCTGGTGCTGGCCGAACAAAACTTAGGAAGTTTAGCCCGTGACACACTCTTTTTAGATTTCACTCGTGCGCCCATCTATTGAATGCAAGGGTCAAGCTGTACTTTTGGAGAGGTTGCCCTAGACGACACGCCCCCTTAAATTTAAACTGGGTTTAGGGTCCACCCCAAACTTGTATGATGTGGTTTACAGCCTAAAAGTTAGTTTGGGTCCATTAGGTTGGCAAGGTCAATGTCACAAGCCATGTTTGCGGCCTAGCCTGCCCAAGAGTGGTCAATATTGACCCACTTGTTGGTATGATCGTGCATCAAATACGCTGCGGCCGCGGAAGCACGCTGCTGGGCGAGCACTCCGGAGGTTCTCCACTTGCTTGCTTGGATGTCTTGCGGTCTGTGCAGAACATCTGGCTTTGGAAGCTGCGTCTTTTGGGGCGCAAAGAGGTTTTGGTTAGCCCAAGCTCTGTCATCATACCCTGTCGGTGACAGCACTGTTGCGTAATCTTGCGATGATGGTAGCACTTGCGGACAGCCTCCCGTTTCTGCATACGGCGAGGCAATGGCATACAAGTACTTTGTGTAATTGTTGAACTTCTGGTTGGCCTGTGAAGCGCAAGATTTCCGCTTCATGAAAGCGAAGGTGTTCTCCAGGATGTCCTTTGTAGAAGGGGTTCCAAGGTACAATCTCCGAGCCAACTTCCGAATTTCGCTGCTGCCATCACGGAACTCCGATTGAAGCAGCAAAGCCATAGCTTCTCTGGCAAGCTGTTGCTTGTTCCAAGCCAGGTCATTCATGCAGTCACGAAAAGTTGCGGACTCAGTCTTGTGACTCTCGGCAGCAACGATGGCCCTCACGAGTTTGCGAATGTGGGACATTGCGGCTGACCGCAATCTCCTGTCTGTGTGCATGACAGTAGCCAAAAGCTGGGGCAGGCTCATCCAGTACTGGGAGTTGGACCACATGATGTTGGCAGCCAATGTGACGGCGAAATTAGTTGCTTTGCTGAGAAGTTGCAACTCTTCAGCCGCCCATTCGTAGGCAGGCAAAGCCGCAGTGCGTGTAGCGCGTGTGAGACCAAGTCTGTCGTGCAAGTAGGGAGAAGCCACCGTCAAAACAGTTTCAGCCACTGTCGACCACCATGATCCAATTGCTCGGCAGCTGACATAGTCAGCTTGTTCTGGCCAACCCCCAGAAACCTTTTCAAGGGCTCGGTAGTATTGGTTCTCAAGCGGCTGTCCAATGATCACCAGGAAGCAGGCAATGTCACGAAGTTCCCTGCTAGACATGAAATTTGCCACCATAGATGTTGGACCCTTTTTGTTGAACATCTTGTACAGATCAGTTTTTGTCCGGGGTTCCTCTCCGGCGGGCTCGGCGGGATCTCTTTCCGGTTCGGCTTGGTCGTCAGCATGAACATCATTGGTTTCCTTAGGTGTGCGACTTGGGTGTTGCAGTGCTTGGAAAAGCATTGTTGCTTGAACTGGCCCACGCCCAACACTCC